TTCCTTTTGAAATGGAAAGCAATGTTTTAAGCTGGATAGATGAACTTGTCTCCTCTGAGCTGCTGCTCCTCCGGAAAAAATAAATTAAGTAAAACAAACAAAGGTACTCAGCTTCTGGACATTTGACATGAAAGTGCATCCCAGAACTGTTAGTTACAGGATAACACTTTTACTTGCAACTTTATCCACTGAAGCCTTTCACAGGCTTAGGCACAGCAGTGACATAAAAAGTTGGTTTATTCCATGTGCTGCCAGTCTCCTTTCTGCTAACTTCTGTCTTGCAGTCACAAATTCTCAACCATTTCAGACACCCCACTACAATATGCCAAATCTCCAATAATACAAGGTAACTTTCGAGGAGCTCTTGCTCTTAACCTACTAAGTGGGCAATCTGACAACTATGCCTGAAGCATGTGCATATGTGTGGGTGAGTTCATTAACATATATTAGAATTCTTTTCTGACTAAAATAGCACACTGCTTAATGCAGAAAGCCTGCTTGTCACATTTGTCAATGAAAAGGAAGAAGCACGAGCATCAAGTTTCCTGTTCATATTTCAGCTGACAGTGAACTGCCACAGGCTTCAGTGGGAGTTTGTTGCAGCCCCAAATATATCTGAATTGTTAAAAAATAGATTTAGAGATTTATTTGGAACTTGACCCCAGTTGCAAGCCTCTTACGACATTAGTAGATAAGAACAGAATCTCTTCCAAATCACTGGTTATCATCACTGGGAGGATCCAAAGTCAAAGCAGCAACTGTGAGAGCTACATAACCTCACCAAAAGCTTGCTGACACCAAGAGGTGGCTTTCATTGTTTTAGTGGAGTTTGGACCAGGCCTGAGTTATTTACTGAAAAGTAACTGGACTATATGATCCACATCTGTGCCCTCACTCCAAGTGGCTGTCAGCTAGTGTTCCAGCACAGGGCTTCCCAGGCTGTAGAGTTACTGGGGAAGCTTCATGCTGTGGCCATGCAAATCAGCCCCAAGAACAAGCTAAAGACTTGCACACTTGCCTGGTTGTAATGTATACAAGGAGGAAACATTAAGTCTCAGTAATTAAGTTTAAGTAATAGAATTTTTGCACTCTGAGCTGAAAAAATATCATTGTGTTTTAGCATAAAGGGGATAAAAGTATAAAGTTTTGTCTACAATCTTCTGCATATTCCTGTGTTTGGGGCTTTTTTTTTTTATTTGGTTGAGGGTTTGTTTTGTTTTTTTAGATTGAAATTTGTGGCTTAAATTTTAAATATTCCTCCTCTGGGAATGCTCTTTTCTTGGTAGCCCACCTTTCTGCTGAGAAATTAGCAAATACTATAAATGTTACAACTAAGCCAAATATCACCTGAGGTGTTTTTAACCAGGGAAATAATTTTCACTCCTGACCTTTTCGCTCCTTCATGTTTATAAGGTTACATGGAGAAATGCTTCATAATCTGAATGTCAGATAGGTATGCTTTGGAGTGGAAAAGTTATGACAGACATTCTTATCTCACCACCTCAGCATTACTCTTAAGGCATACAGCGGTTTTGCCACTATTGTCAAAAGTAGCATCTCTGATGCTTGCCTAAATCCTTGGACTTTTTTTCTTAATTACTTCTTAGCATTCAATAATATAAGCCCATACTTTTTTATATGATTCATAGATGCTATCTAGAGGGATAAAACAAGAACATGTGCCATTAATTTTCCTGGTTTTTTACATTGCTCTTTAGGGACAATTTTATAATGGACTCAATTTGTTGTTATCATTATATAGAGAATGACATATCTTTCCTTGGGAGATCAGAAACTCTGCACCTAGGCATCTGCAGAGATGCTACATTAGACTGACTTGAAACAATGAACCAACTGGAGACAAGCTGATCACCTCCACTCCCATCCATGTTCTCATTTAAGTATTTGAGTAATTGGCATTCTCCATGTGGAATTTGGATGGTTCTGTGGATTCCTCCAGGCAGGACCCACTGCCTGGAAAAGTTTCTTTATGTTCCAGTGTGCTGATTAATACCCAGGGTGGAGGATATCCAGAAACTCCAAAGCTACAAAATCAACGCAGTTCTGCACAGACTGCAGGTAGTAAGAGGAGGATTGTAAATCAGTATCCTAAAAGTAGTCAGTATCTACATCAGTAGCCTAAAAGCATTTTTGGATTCCTCAGAAAACATGTACAGGATAGCAGTCCATCTCCAGTTTTCTAATCCTCTGAGTTTTCTTCTCTAACCCATTTTCAAACAAGGCACATTGCTGTTCCAGATGGTGGGGACAGAGAAGGCAGACTCCAGTTCTCAAAGTGCAGAGAACATCCAGTACAGAGGGTCCTCATACAATTTTTTCATTCCCATAGCACCTTCAGAGAGGTCTGGAAATCTGATGTCCCAAAGTAACAACTGCAAAATTGCGTGAATAGAAGAACTTTTCACTATGAGGTCTAAAATCATCCTCTCCTTTTTGCCCTGAAGGAGCCTGAAGTCTACTGAAGGCAAAATAATAACCACAACTCCCACAGATCCACAAATCAATAAAGCAATTGCTTAAATTGTTACTAATGTGGGCTGTGCTCTAAAAGAGCAAGGAATTTTGTTAATTCCTACAAATAATATTCATTGGATTGATATATCTACTACCCATTCCTGCACACAGCACAACTCAAACCAGCAACTGCCTGGCAAGGCTCATTACACAGCCCTGGTGGCTGCAGCAAAGTGTGATGGAAAACTTCCATGTCCTACAGTGAAATTCTGGATATATTAGAAGCAGCAGAAAGATACCTACATACATAAAATAAGGCTCTTCTGAATTTAGGTGAACACTGCTGAGATAGATCACTTATTTCATGTTCTGTGTACCTGATCAGCCTGACACAGTTTTGTCCTATGGGACTTAATACAAAGTGCATCAAAGGAGTTTCTACAACTCTGTAATAACCCGCACCACTGCTCAGCTCTCTACCTTGCCATCCTGTAACATGGGCCCTGGATCATGTTTAGCCCAGGTTAACTCATTATTAATACAAATTAGAGATATGAATGTGTGAACATAAATTATCTCAGAAGTAAGAGTGGATGTATCAGGCTATATAAACAGCACATGTCTGAATCCAAGTTACATTTTTCTAATCAATAATAATAGTTTACTGTCCAAAGCAGCCTGAAATATTGTTAGATATATGATTCTTCCAAAAATGTATCACTCTCTAATAGAAATGCGAAAATGCACCATTTAAAAAAAGTATACGTATTTGGAAGGAAATGAATACTTATTCATTCCATTCATGTGAAGCTGACAGGAAGAAATCTGAATCTACAAATACATTCTACATTTCAGTTATCCTTTCACGTTTTGAAACAAGAAAGGTTGGGGAGGGGCAGTTGGAAGCTATGTTATTTTTTCTGATTTTCTATTTCTGGTCATTTAGGCATTGCTTGTCATATTGGGCCTTCAGAGTTTTAAAATGGGTTGTAGTTTCTATCTATATTGTTGTTCTTGTATTTTATTCCTCCTGCTACACAGGTGCATCTTCTGCTACCGTGTCATGCATTTGTCTCTTGGGAGAGTGGGTGGTTCTCACAAATACAAAAACTATTAAGCTCTACAAGACAGAAATAAATTCAACATTGAAAAAACCACAGTAGTCAAAGTGCAGCAAAATGTAATGCTGCACTCTGCTAAAATAACATTCTTTCTTCTCCTGACATTTCTGTTGGGTCCATGACACCATCCGTACATTCCCCCTCAAGTTAAAACAGCAGCATTTCCTAAACCTGGATGAATATTTTTAGAAAAGAAAGTAACTTTTAACCCCCAAGTATTTATCTCATTAGATTCAAGTCTGATATTATAGTTAAAAAAAAAAGAACTCAAAATTGGTAGCAGCTAATTTTAATTCCCCTACAATTGTCATGGCCTCAAAAAAAGTTTAGCAACCTGAAACAAACCTACACAAAAAGGGATCTCGTGACACAGGGGGATGACTAGCTATGTATCCAGAAATCAAATACAAATAAAATTAAGAAAGCCATATTCATGTTTGTACAAGCTAGCATTTCATCTCTCAAAGACATCTGTCACCTACATATGGCACAACTTTCAGCATAACAGGGAGAGCACTATTAAGTGCTGTAGAGCCAATGTGAAGCTCAGAGATAGGTCAGAAATGAAGAGGGACTTCAAGGGAACTTGTAATTTCATCAACATCACTTATCTGCACACTCTGCAAAATGCAGTCTCCAAAAAGACTTCCTGCAACTGTACAAAAAAAAAAACCAACCAGTGCATTCACCAAAAAGTGTTTCATGCTGTCTTCAGTTGGGGGCCTCAGTGAAAACCATGTAATTATTATCATCTAGTTTTATTTCCTCCTCACCTTCACAGAAGCAAAGAGGAAAAAGTTTTTAAAAACTGTGGCAGTCAGACCTTCAATGGAGAAATGAGCATTGGCCCTTCCCCCTTTGCTATAAAGGGAACCAGCAGGTTTGAGACATCCTCAATATTCGCCAAAGGCCAGAATTTCAGGAGAGCTCAGATGTCTCACTCAAGCATCGTGAAGCCTGTGAGTTGGCTAATCAGGTAAAAGAAAGAAAAAAAGAAAAGAGGCCCTAACTACTTCTATTCTGTACTATTTTCCTTAGGACGGCCTTGAAGTCAAAACGTCAGGAAACCCTTTTCAACTCCTAGGCTGATCCACCTCTGTGCCAAGAGCTCTAGCTCTCCAAGACCCCTCACTCATACCTTTTGTTCTCTGCATCACCACTCCCCTCTCATTGCATTCCCAGGCATGTGAAGAATTCATTAGCCCTTTGCCTTCCACCACAGCACTTAAATGAGTGACTCTTCCAAAGGATTCAACACCTTACAACTTCCATAGGGGAAAATCTTAGCTTTTCAGCTCCCTTGAGGCTGTGGCCTTCAGCACTTCTGGGTAAGACTTTTAAAGCAAACAAAAAAGGAAAAAAGAGAGAGATATTTTTACTTCCCCCTTCATTTTTTGCTTGCAGCCCATGGGATCAGAGAGGACGGAGATCCGCAAACGGCAGATGGCTGCGACCCCGGAGAGCCCAGGTGCTGCACAGGCTCAGCTCAGCACAGGAAATCGAGGCTCCAATGCCTGCTGCTTTTGTTGGTGCTGCTGCTGCAGCTGCTCATGGTAACCCCTCTCATTCAAGCCTCTAGGGAACAGAATAGCAAGGAAGGGACACATAGCTTCTGCACAGGACAACACAAGCCAAAGAAAACACTTGTATAATTCTGCAGATCTGGGACACAAAGAGATAGTTGTGCTCTACTACTAGACACAACCCTCTACTCCAGTCTAATCATTCTTTCCCCTGCCATTGAAATAACAGATTTTAAAAGAAATATCTGTACAGTATCTCTATTGCTCTTTTTTTATCAGTACTGTGTAATGTCTGTTTTGTGCTGGACAGGGTCTCCTCAGCACTGAGTTTCACCAAGGGTCCCACTAAAAACTCAAAGCAATACCAGAATATGTCAGAGCTTTAGTTTTAGATTTGGGCCTTGACAAGCAGAACCGAAGGTGTTAAATGGAGTTAGGAGAAGGTGGAAGGATTTTTAGGTCAGAAAATGAATAAGCAGGTGCCCAGCACTTCTCTTCCCCTGAAGGTAACTGGATCTGTTGCCATTAATTAGTATTGCCAACTCATGGCACCTGCAAATCATATGAAGATAATCATTGGGACCAGAAACCTTAAACAATGTGGGTATTTGCTGGAGTTGAGGAGCTAAGCAGAAAAAAATGCAGAAAAACTCCCATTACAAAAGTCCCACTCCTGTTAAGGAAGAAAATATATAAAAGCAAAAGAGGAGAAATCACTTGATTCCTTAAATTAACAATGTGTTCACCTTCACTTTCTTATCAGCTCCTCCAGATCCAAGTGATTTCATTCTAAACTGAAGTAAATCTTCCCATACTCAAAAGCCCTGTATCTGGTTAGGGCAAAGTGTTACTTCATGGGTGAGAGTAGAACTTGTATTCAAATAAACAAAAACAGCCATGGAGTTTAGCCAACATTCTGACAGCAAGTGGAATGCTTCTTAGAAATTCACTACCGACCACATAAACACTTCAGAGCAAGCAAACCTGGCACTGAGGTGATGGGAAGTGGTCATAAATAACCTTACAGCCTGGGCTAGGAATCTATTCCACCAATGTTTTTTCCAATAGCACCTTGTGGCAAATGCTTTGGAGAGCACCATTAGAAGGCAAGGGAAGAGCAGACTGATCATTTCCCTGGTACTCAGCTCATCAGAAGCCAAGACACACAAGATTCTGCCCTCCCTAATGCAAATAGTGAACATTTTGCAAGGACAAAATGCTGCTTGGAGGTTTGGGGTTTTTTGTGAGATGCCAAGAACTCTGGCTCTGATCCTACCAAGCTTTTCAGCAGGTGCTTAGAGATAAACTAAGGTAGAATTTAGAGAGACATTAACACTCTGCCTGTACAGGATCAGTTTGTGACCTATTGCATCTATGTTAAGGCATCCCATACAAATTCCAATGCCATTTTAACAGCTGTCCAGTGCAACTGCAAGTGGCTCAGTCCAGAGCTGCATTACACAAAAATGTTTTTCCATTAAAGGAAAAAATAAGACATATTTATCTACTGTCATGGTATACAAAATTTGCATTATACCTTTTAAATTGTTGATAAAGGTGCTTTTTTTTCCCATTTTACCTGATATTTTACAGGATGCTCATTTTCTGTGTATCTCACTATTCAAACAATTCAAAGAAAGCAATTTACTCAATAGGGTTTGTGAAAGTACCCAAATTTCATGATGCTTAAAATTCCTATTTGCATTTCAGAATCATCTGGGAAACCAATACAGGCTCAGAAACAGAGTAGCTTGTTTCAGCTTTAAAATAATTTCTTTTTTTTTTTTTTTTTTGAAACAATTGTTTTCTAGTAGCATGAAATGCAAAACAAACCGTAATTAAGCTATTTATGTTCCCCATTCATACACCATTTCCTCAAAATAGCCTAAGCTCTTGGAACAGAAAGATTATGAATAGAAATAAAAATAACAGTCTCCATGAGTCATGCTGCTGAGCTGCTGAACATCCAATATTCAGCATATTCTTAATAGTAGATTCAGAATGAACTGAAATGAGTCTCTCAGCTGGATGCTCAGAGCCTGTGTTCATTCCTACAGTCAAACCCAAGCCTCCAGCCTGTTACTCTCCCAGATCCCAAGAGGATACACTATTGCACTAGTCTCTTTATTGTTTACTTGTACATTTCTAGGGAAAGAGCCTGCCTGTAAGTAATTTTCTGAAGCATGGCATGTTCTCTTAGGGAGGCTTTTGTTATTTCTTTGGTCTTTTTCCTTTTCTGTGCATTATCCCATAAGACCATATTCCTTTCTGTTGGATCTGTTGGTTCCCTTCAATTCAAAAATAGCTCTGACAAGAGTATCACTTCCTGTCTGTGTGTGAGAATACATATCACTTTACATATTCAAAGAAGGCCAGAACCACAGGTAAAAAGGGTAGTAAAGACCCATATAACCTAACAAAGAACTAGCATTGCTACTTAAATTTTTCTCTTTTTTTTTCTGAAAAGGTAAGTTGACATAGTTCATTGGTTTGAACATATGGTTCAGATATTGCTGAAAAAAAAGTGTTTGCACTATCTGCTCTCCACCTTAGCAAATACAAAAGCTTTCCTATATCTTCAACACATGGACTGCTGTGGCAAAGAGAAAAGCAGATCTCTGCAGATTATGGACTAACAGTAGACAAAGCCGGAGAAGGGGATGCCCAGTAAATAATAAGGCTGCAAATAAGACTTGGCCAAGAGTTTAGAATGCAAAACAGGCAGAAAAATCCACTGGTTTAACAAAAAACCTTCCTAGAGATAAATGAGATTCTTAGGGATTAAGGCAGCAAAACTTAGAACATTAGCATCAAAGAAAGGTAAGATACAAATGAAGAAATTAAGTTTGGTATTTCCCTAGAAGTTATAGCAACTGTGTTGCCTTGTTTCAGCTAGAGGGCCCATTTCATATAAACAACAGGCAAGATAAAATATAAAAAACACTGGGACCTTTTATTCTTGACACATTTTAAGCAGCTTTACAGATTATATGACAGCATGTGTGTATGCACATGCATTTCTCACTAAGCTGCCATAGCCTGGATGAACTGGAATGTAGTCCCCACTCCCTAAAAAAAATTTATATTTTCAAATCCAGTTTCAAATTAAAATGAATAATCTACAACTACAAAATAAATTTTTTAAAACTAGAGCTATCTTAACTAACATTTGATGAAAGAAGCAGGAGTTCACAGCTACTCTTCTGAAGGACATAAAAAACTCTCAGTTGTCACTAGTGATTGCAGCAAACTTTGTTTCTGTAATGCTACAATCAAGTGTTTCCATTCACACACACTCAAAATTATATTCAGCAATTATAGATCGCTCTTTGTGCTCCAGACCTCACATTTTGATGCATGTATTAACAATTTTCTAAGATGCAATCAATCACCACAAAATCTGCCTGTATCTACATCTGAACTCTGAAAGATGCTTACCCTTCCAACACCAAATACAGAAGTCTTTAGCTCTCTTACATCTTGTGTCCTGCTTCCGAACTCTGGCTTTCCTGTGACATGGTATCATCATTCCAAACCAGAGTTTTGGCCCTCATCACAACTGAGGTGAAAAAAAATGCAAACAAACAAATCCAAACCCACCTACCTTGAAACTTAACTCACATAAAAGCAGTGCATCAGGTCCAGCTTAAGTAAAAGCATTGCACTGAGCATACACAGTACAAAAATCAACGGAGAATAGATTTGGTATGTGACAAAGGGTATGCATGTATACATATACATCCCATTTAAACTTGTGTGTATGTATATATATATGTATACACACATATAGAATTGGATCTGACAATCCTTATGGGTCCCTTGAACTTGAAATATTTTATGGAATTATGCTCCTTCTGTAGAAAATCTGTATTACAGAATATAAAACAGCATTCAGCTACACTCAAGGCTTATACAATTGTAAAAATAAGGTCAGAATGTAACTGTGGGTAATGTGCCTATCATTAGCTTCTGTCTTTTTAGAATTATTTTTTTTTAGTACAGAAGGAAAAGTATCAGGTGTATGTTCAGCCTTTTTCTCTATAAAGTTGACTAAAACTTTGTTTGCTACTTTGCAGTCTTACTGTTAGAAATCAAGAAGAAGAGAGAGCAAGGAGAACATCTCATGAACTCCAAGCAGAGGGTATTCCAAACTGTGAGGAAAGGTATGGTCTTTACTAAGTGTTCTGTCAAGCTGAAATGAAACAAACCCAACAAACCATACTAAGTAATTGCAATGGTTTACCTGAAATATGAAAATAACTATTATCTACTTGTCATTTACACCCAATTTGCAATTCACCTGTTTTTCTACCTTTTAATGAACCAAAGAGCTCATCTATAATATTTTACTTCATTTATATGCAGCACGTAAGCACATCCCCACTCCCAGGACAAATTAAAACCAACGTTGTAAACTGTCTCCCTTTTTCCTGAAATAATTTTAAAATACACCCTGCTCCCACCCAGCAAGTGTACAATGAACTTAACCAGCAGCACTCAGCCTTACAAAAATAATAAACTGGAGCTTAAAACCTCCCAAAAGTCAGGCAACAGTTTCTTCAGAAAGGCTCAAACAGGTAAAAGCACATGCAAAAAGGTAACATACAGGTGGGCACCTTTCAAAGTGTTTGAATCATTGCTTCTTTATATGTACTTTCATTCAATTTTTAACTATAATTTAACAAGGAATATTATGGATAGAAAAAACGTCTAGCTGTTGCACGGGTACTCCTTTGTTGCAATTACTCTGAGCAGTAAACTGCAATTTCTGCATCAAAGCAGAGGCAATCACCTGCATCAGAGCTTTTGATAAGCACACTTTCAAAAAAAATCTTATAAATGTGCTTACACGAGTTTGCACTTGGGTAGTGAGGAATCAGAACCCCATGAACCTCACAATTTTGTTCCACTGTGATGGCAGATGCCTCCTGCCAGCAGCAAACAGCTTGAGTAACAATCATTTGTTTCTCTCCTTTTGCTCTTCTTCCTCCTTAAGCCCTGCTCCCACTCTTGAAGAAGTAAATGCTTGGGCTCAATCATTTGACAAGTTGATGCTTACTCCAGCTGGCAGAAATGCTTTTCGTGAATTTTTGCGAACAGAATTCAGCGAGGAAAACATGCTTTTCTGGATGGCCTGTGAGGAACTAAAACAAGAATCCAACAAAAGCGTCATTGAAGAAAAAGCAAGACTAATTTATGAAGATTATATTTCTATCCTTTCTCCGAAGGAGGTATATTGCTTTCCCTAATACAATCTTTGATGTTTCTTTGCACAGTTAGTTCTAACATGTGTTTAAAGCTACAGCAATACTCAGGGAGAACTTCCCCCCCCACCCCCCACCCCCTACGTTCCATCAAATAGATATTTAGGGGAAGAAAGCAACCATCATTAAGGTGAGATGGTCAAAACTACTTTCACTGGTTGTAAGGAAGCTCTTCCTATGCTACCCTGGCATGCTGATGTGGAATTTTTAGTTTGAGGCACAAATATATGGCTGATCACATTATCCTTGCCCAACTCAAATTTTATTTGCTGGACAAATCAGTCCTTTTCTCATTACACTCAGAAGAGGCTGTATACATTTCTCCAAAAGCACAGTAACTACAAATAAAATGTCATTTTCAAAGACACATTTCTCACAGAGCAGCTGACAAAATATAGCATAGAACAAACACAATGACTTCCCCAAAATTTTCAAAACTACTTTGCTGCTAGCAAATATGTCAAGTTTCAAAGACACCTCAGTACAGTTTGAATATAATCCTGCCAAGCAGGCTAGAATTTGAAACCTTTCAACATCCTTGCAAAATTGCAATTTAATTTTTTTTTGTGCCAGCTATACTTATGTACTTATAAAAATGCTGTTTAAATCTACCCAGTCTGTTCCTGCAATACTAATAGCTCTCTACAGACACATAGGACCTGAAGAAAAAAAAAATTACATTACTGCATGTTGTAAGGAATCATTATATAGCCCTACCTATGGTTCACATCAACTCACTCTGCTTTTTAACAGCAATTTGATTAAGAAACAGCTTCCCAGGTTACATTGTCCACCTGCGTCATACTCTTACTCCAAACTCAGTCTCTTTACAACAGCACCAACTCTCCAGGAAATGAACTGTCACAAAAATTATAAATGCTCTCTACTACAGAGCAGGAAGTTGGTCTGGAAATAACCCATCGGTCTCAGTAATAATGGGATTGCAGACAGCCTTGTTCAAATAAGGTACCTCAGTGAGGACATTACCCATACTCAAGATAGGATTCCATTCAAATTTTTACAGAATAATTTTTTGCAAAAGTTTATTTAGCAATTTTTACAGTCTTGGAGGACACCAGCTGAAATGCTTAAAAAGATGGCTTTTTCAACCAATGAAACAAAACTAAGACCCCACCTGTACTATTCACCACTATTATTTACATTACTTTCTATTTTAATACGCAGGTCAGTCTGGACTCCAGAGTAAGAGAAGTTATTAACCGAAATATGCTGGAACCCTCACAACACACCTTTGATGATGCACAGCTTCAAATTTATACCTTAATGCACAGAGACTCTTACCCACGGTTTATGAACTCTGCTATTTATAAGGACTTGCTTCAGTCCTTGTCTGAAAAATCCATTGAAGCATAGAATTTTTTCTTAAATGTATTTATTTTAAAACAGACAGGACTCTGGGCTACAGAAATCCACAGGGAATTTAGAATTAATCAGATATTTACCTGAAAATAACTCAGGCAAGTTTTACTACAGACTGAATAATTTAAATCCGCACAAAGCTCTGACACAATCAGCTACGTACAGTTTCTGATTAAATTTAGTATTACTTTGCAAAAGGAAATTAAGAGAATGAAGAAGAAACATCGTTCAAAAAATGCAGTATTTTTCAAACACAGCAGACAATTTAGACACAAAGCTATTACAACTTATGTCTGAGGTACAAATACCAACTGAGCATGAAACTGATTTTTAAGTGGAATGTTAGAATTTTCTTGAGAATCAAACCAGTTGCCCCATCCACACTGTGACCAAAGTAAAAATATTAGTCAATACTGTGTTACTCTAGGCAGTGCCATCACACCTAGCATAGGTACACTCCACTTGTTTTGGTATATTTAATGCATAAATGGTGCACTAATGGAAATTGGCATGGAAATCTCAAGTTTATGAAAGTTACTGATTGAAATAATGCTGCTTATAAAAAAAAATCTTTTCTGAAGAATTGTTATTTTAGTATTAGAATCTGCTGAAAGCATTAAGTTCCCTTTATTAAAGTTCATAAAGTTAAATTATTTATTTCAGAGGAAGACAAGTCTGGGCATTCAAATTCCAAAATAAAGCACAAGAATTCTCACATATTTTTCTCTTCCCTCAGTAGGTGTTTGTAAAACCCTTCACTATTTGCTCCCAAGAGGACGACTGCTTCAACCAGCTTGGGTTTGTAAATACGAAATTCTCCCATTCCCTGACAGATTTTGTAAGGTTTCCATTACTGATATACACACAATTTACTTAATAAAAGCAGGAAGATGGAACTTGTGTTCTGATACAGCAGTATTTCAGACTGTCCAACAGCACCAGCTCTATCCAGTTATAAACCATGTTCATTTACAGTATACCCAAAGCATTACACTTAATTCCTGGCCATATCTCAAAATCAGTAATCACAGGAAATACTAGGAAGAAAGCAAGTTGAATCCACAGAAACTATCTGTAGATCTGTTATTCTAATGTCTTCTTTCTTTTAAATTACATGATTCACTACAATTCCACTACATTAAACTCTGGAGTTTATAGTGGATTTCCACTGAATTGTATTTTTCCCTGTGTATTTATTTAAATGAGCCAAATGACACATACAGGTTGGAAAAAGACATATGGGAAACAGAAAGACACAAAAAATACCCCAGAAAGGAGTGCCAGATATAGTTCAGTGATGTGTACTGTAGCCTTTCCAAAATCTACTCTTTGCCTAATTCCAGCACTATGGAAAATACAAAATGGGAACCTTCTCTAAAAAAAAAATTAAATGGGAAGAGCAAAACAGAATTTAAGAGATCAATTTAATTTTTCCTTAATGCACTTGGCAGGTGACACATTGTGCCCTTACTGCATTTACATTTTGATGCATATAATGATTTGATTTTTTCAGTACATAGCACCACAGGAGAAGAGCTGGTACATGGTAATTTATCACTGCTATGGGCTGGTTCAAGCCAGCCTGGATGGGCAACCTGGTCTAGAGGAAAGTGTTCCTGCCAGTGGGGATGGTACTAGATTAAGGTACCTTCCAACCCAAATCATTTATGATTCTATGACCAGTTTTCATCATCTCCTTCCAACAACAAAACACCATTCAACATTACAAAAAAGTAAACCAAAAAAATTAGAGAGAGCAAAGCAAAGTGCTTTTTCCTGCTGCAGCACAGTGTTGGGTGACTAAGTTAAGAGGAAACGCTTCCATACACCACTAAAGACACAGTTCAGTGAGTGTTTGCCACTGCTTAATCTATCAGTGCTGCTTACATCAGCTGAATTTCTATTTAACACACCCAAGGCTCTATCAATACAATTTCAGTTTATGTGAAATATTACAATGCAAGTAGTAACTTCAACAAAACAAACAAGGTATCTTCAAAAGGCAGCACTCATGAGGATCTTGCAGTCAAACAGACAATACAGTATGTTTTAATCAGAGTGGGCAGGAGTGCTCTAAACCTCCAAGTTGACAAATAAAGTTTACCTAGGTCAAATTCAGCTTGGTGGAAAGATCACATGCACACATAAAAAAAAACAAACTTGAAAGCACGTCACCTCACAAAATGGAGGATTTAATTTCTTTTAAGTTATCTCTCTTCCCTGCAAAGATACTTTATTAAAAGCTGGAAGACAGACTGAACACTCATAGTCCATATCAAACAATATATTCTATTATTCTGCAAGGAAAAGAAAAAAAAAAAGATGCAATGAAGTTAGAGGGAAGACAAAACTATATAAGTTTGGGGAGTTTTATGGTTAACATTAAATTATTTAAAAAAGAAAGTAATAATTTCTAAACTTGTTTTCCATGTGCCATAACTTCTAAGTAATTAACATTCTCTGTGCAATTTTACTTCTGCATTACACTATGTTGACATTTGCAATGTGCATTCTTTCCTGAAATATCTTAACAAATCTACATGCTGTGCATGAGGTTTAAGCTTATACCCACTACCTGTAGCAGAATGCTGATCCCTAGACATCCTGAGAATATCTCCTAAAAACCCAAACAGCCACTCCCTTAAATATATTTTTATTTTGAGGCTGATTAATGCTGGATTTAATTGACAGCATGGAGGCAAAGGGTGGGGGGGAGGGGGAAGATGAAAACAAAAACCCACCCGCACAGACAACAAATTTTTAATTACATTTCATTGCTATATACCTGCTCATGGTGCATAAACTTCTCAGGGCAAAAGAAAGTGCACTGAAAAGGAAAAGCTTCCATAGACAAGCTGTTACATGAATAGCAGGAGAAAATAATCATATTGACATAAGACATTATTTAATCATGTAAGAAATTATCACAAAAACAATTTATCCTAGGTTGAAAATGAGCACGGTTGGTTTGCCTTGGCATTTATCGAACTGCAGGATATCATTAAGCTGTAACAACTTTCCAGTCCACTGGCATTCTTCCTTCAATGTCTGCACATCATAAAGCAGTAACTCCCACAGAACATGCATACTGCTAAAGACTGCTCTTTTCACCAGCCTGCTAAGCACTATTAAAATTGCATGGGCTCCTTCAGCCAACATATTGTGCTTTACAGTGACCTTTAAATTCCAAAGTCATTAGCACAGTACAAATGGAGAAAAAAAAAACTTTCTGAAGGGCTCTATCATATAAAGTTAGATTAAAATTCACCACATAAGCATCATGTACTTAAGCAGTTTCTGATTATCAGAAAGAATATCAGAAAAAAGATAAAGTGATGAGAAAGGCTATCGTATCACAATGTTAAGTAATTTTTAAACAACTTTGCTGTAAGCAGTTAAGAATATGTGTCTTCTGCCATAAAAGGTACGAGTGTTTCAATGACATTATGAACATTTTTTACATTAATTTTGTAACTAAATCAACCCCAAACTCTTTGAAATGGTAAAAGAATTCAAGACTAGTGATGATCTACTGAAACAGAAGCCAATATACAGCTGTATAAAATTGTGCTTAAAAGAAGTAAAACTCCTCAGGTTTGTTTATATGAATGACTAATATTTCAAGATCTATTTCCAGAGGCATGTGCTTGAAAGGTAATACAACCACATTTTACAGAATGAAGACTTCATGTTGATGAATTAAGTCCTGTCTAGGCTGGGAAGGGTTGTGAGTTTCAATTTAAAATTCACACATGTGATCACAAGCGGAATCCTTAACTCTGGATAAAAACTAGGTCCTTCCTTGGATTCACAAAAGCCAAGATCACTGGGCAGATATTTCTCTTCTGCTTAGTGATAGTCAAAAAGAACCATTAAGTACAAGATAGTTTAAAACTCATACTTTTTCCTGAACGAGATAACAGAATATATGAGCAAATGTATTATTTATGAGAAAATGTCTTCTAATGAAGGATCCAGAAGTTGTGTTTTCTGAGCAGCAGGATCCTCTAGCCTTGCTTACAGAAGATTGGATCCGTAAAAGAACACACACACACTTTAGAAGGAATGTGGCCTCCTCTTTCAATCAGAATTTTGTACAAACTACCTTAAATTGTAGGACAACTCTATTCCATCTGAGAGGATTCAAGTGTCCATAAAGGTAATAACCAAACCTGCTATTCTTAGATGGAGAGATTCATCACCACTTCTGCTGGCATGTTTCAGTGCATGAAATACCCCAGTGTACAGGGTCAGTCATAGCACAACGGCAGCCCAGTAGACAAGCCAGCCAGTGGGAGAAATGGGACAGTCCCAGCTCCACCTTTGCATCCTTTTCGATACAGGAGGGCAATTTCAGACAGCTGTGAAAACTGCAGCATGTTAAACTCTGTTAAACAGAGGTCCATCCAAAGATCAGTACTGGAAAGTTTTTTCTTTGGATTTGGGTAACCAAAATAAAACACTAATAAAACAGATGCATTTTTAAATCTAATTGTTGCACCCCATCTTTCACTGGGCAAAAGAAATGGTTCTTTTTACCACAGAGGCAGAGGAGAGAAGGATGAAGGCTGCTGCTCAGATATCATCAGGTGAAATCACATTTTATTTCAACTCCTTTATTTCACCTTGGATATACCTGCATCACAGAAAGTGCTACCACAGTTCTGGTTCTTTTAATATAGTCCAGATATAATCTGGTGGCTACAGAAAAACAATTACTACATTTTATCAAAAGACATTTCTTCTAAGTGTCACAATCAGACACAAAGGTCAAAAGACACACAGTGTGAGGAAGGTTATGCAAACCAACCACTGCCTGCCCTGTATATGTATGCTACGAACAGCTGTGGAAATTTAGGTCTACTTGGCATCCAATCTGCTGTCATTTTTAACACAATTTTTTGGACTTGTTCTTTTACAAAGGTCCCCAAACAAAGCACTCTGATTTATAGTAAACATCTTTAATTGGTTTGTTGTCCTCAACAACTTGGAAAAAAAAAATCTTTTAGTAACTCTTAGGAAGCAATCCTGCCAATGACTACACCTAGACACAGGCTAAAAATTAACCCATACTGCTAGTAGAAAAAAATATTTCCTAAAAGGCATTAGCATAAGTTGAGTTAAAATGTTTATATATAAAAAGCTATTCAAGAAACTTTAGATGCTAAGCAATTTTCTGCCTAAAAAAATAGACTGTAAAAAACTTCTTCTATTTTAATAATTTTTACCCTTCAGCAGAAAAGCCACACTTCCTTGCATAAGCTGACTGGAAAAGCTTGCTGTATCAAGTATTAACCAAACAGTTCTTGTCTCCCAAAGTTCAAGTGTCCTCATACTATTTCCAACTCACTTGTTACGGTTGCCACTATCACACAAAAAACATTCAACATAGAAAAACTTGGTTTTCCTTTACATTCAAGGAATTTATTTTCCAGGAGCTGTGCACACTCTTCCCATCTCCTCATGAATAATTTATACAGTGCCAAAATAGACCTCCTCAGCCCCAAACTAACAAATTAAGTAACATAAAATTAGATTTAATGAATTTAATCTCTTCTAAAGATGTTGACATGTTTTTCCTTGGAAACACATTTGTAAATATTTCTAAACATGCACTGTTAAAAAGCAAACTCTAAAAAAGCAGCATTTATATAATTTCTCATATGGAAAAGATCATAACTTTAATAATTTATTCCCAGTTGCAGGTCTGTGATGGACACCGGATACCCTACAATTTCAAAAATCATTTCATGAACAAAATCAATGCCGTTTAAATGAAGGGAGTATAGTATTACCTCTCCAGCCAGTTTAATGTAATGAATTGGTCAGCTGGTGTAATTAGGATAGCCTAAAACACAATGCCTTTGCTTATTTACAAATTCTACACCCAAGTTGGTTGTCAAGCACATTAAGCAAGACTGAACACTCAAATCAGATTTAAACACTATTTTAAGACATTCTTAGAAATAATGCCTGCTGATAGAAGGTAAAATACATGCTTTGGGCAATAAAATATATTGCATTGATCAAAGCTGGTTACATAAACAAGCTCAACCAACCATTGCAAAAGAGGTCATCATATCCACTAATAAATATTCAAACCCCATGATTGCAAATTTAGTCCTAGTCCAGAAAGAGCACACAAACTAGAGAGTTAATTAAATTGTGATTGAGTTAACAATGGAGTTTAATGTTATGAGGAACTCATATACCTTTTCTGCTTGCAAAGTAAAGTGAACAGAGCAGATAGAAACAAATTTCATTCTTACAACTGAGCAAATGTGGAGAGGCAAAATACACACAGGAGGAGCGTGTATATTTCAGACCACAAAAAATACAGTACATTATTCACATAGTTAGAAAAAAACAAGACAATTACCAAAATGTTTAACTGGTAAAAGTTTAATGTCAACTTACTTATAAAAATGAAAAAATATTTTAAAATTCACCATACAATTGAGCAACCTGGCCCTACTGACTACCAGCTATAGGAAGGCATTTAAGGAAATGATGGTTGTGTCAAAACAAAGGCTAACTTGAGGCATGTATGCTGCTTTGAAATAAAAAGAAAAGAAAAACCAAAAAACCCTCTCATTTGCAGGAAGCTAGATGCTTAGTCTAGTTTTTAAAGCTAATTACAAAATCCTCGTTCATACTGGTCCAGACATCTTGATAATTTCTTCTTCTAACAGAACTGTCAAAAGAAAAGAATGTTTTATGAGATCTTCATACATCTTAGTTCTAAATCTCTGCAAGAAGAAACAGAAATACAACACCAGACTTAGGATATGGAAATTACTAATTATAGCATTTGCTTATATTTTAACCATTCCTTCAGGCACCTGTATACAGACACTTCTGTAACTGTCACTTTACAAAAGGTTTTAAGGACAAACATACTTTTTCAGGTACTGCAAACAATTCCATCAAACGATTTCTAAGCTTTATATATTATTTAGATATCTCAGAGCCCATATATGAACAATATTCAGCAGTAAGTTATGTAAACCAAGATACAGAAAATATTTTTTATGTGGAAGTCTTAATGTACACCATGGCATGGCCCCGCAGAGCTGCAGCGTTCTTAACATAGGAAAATAACAGAATGAGGTTATCATGCTTCCTATGGCATGTCATCACACCTTCAATAAAATGGAGAAACACTGAAACACGAAAGCTTGTAAAATTTACAGTTGAACTACCAGTGTTTCTCAGAATCTTTATAAATTCTTGTTTCCCAAACTTAAAAAAAAAGATTCAATCAAGTTATCACTGCTCTACACTCGTCCTGGCACAGGAATATAGCATAAGTCATCTCTCTTTTTTATTACTTCTTCATTTCAGAATAGCAAAAAAACCGGAAAAACAATAACAACAAAAGGTCTAAAAAAGGCCTGTTACACTCACCAAAGCAGAGATTAAAACCAGTTAAAAGAACTTGGGGTGAGGAAAGAGAAAACACAGTGACTATCTTGTCACCACTCTGTACGGCAAAGCAGTATCGTAACTAAATGTCACAAGGACTAAGTCCTGACTTCTCTTCCCCTTTGCCACCAATCTTCTTGAGAGATCTCACACCTTCAGTCTAAAATACATTTCTAATTTAAAGCTATTTTGCAATCTCAACATGTAATATCATTAATGGGTTAAGAAGTATCTAAAAGTCAACAGAAAGTGATTTGTCACATTTACTGTAAGCCCAAATTAACCACAGAGGCAGGCTGCCTGCTATCAAATATGCAGAGGAGTCTAACAGTCTTACCTTCCATCTGTTTCCACATTCATTACAGACAACAAATGTTGTCATGGGTTCATCAGCACTGCGGGTTTGAACCTTTGGCAAAGGCAAGAGCCAGAGTGGAAAAGGAAAATTAGTATCTTCAATTTTTCTTAGTGTGTGTTCAATGTAACTGTTTAAATCAAAGTTTAACATTAAGGAAACAAATTTTCATAAAAATACAAGTTAACTTTATGTATCAACTGAAACTGGGCTTTTTGCCTTGCTATAAAGCCACGATAAACTTGGATTTTAGAGATTTAGTAGCACTAAAATACCAATTTCTGCGCTGAAACGGTGCATGTATTTCTAGGAGAAGATTCTGCACTAAAAGTACGAAGGCCAGTACAGCTTCACATACATTTAGCAATGCAAAGGCTTTGAAGTCTCATGACTGAAAAACAACTTGCTATTTCAAGCATCTGATGAACAATACAAAATATAAATGCAGCTGATCCTATGATGAAAATGATGTTCCCTGAAACACAGTTAAGCCAATTAAAGCACTTTTCTGTGGTTGTAGGAATGACTGCAAATCAGGGTCTAGTGTTACTCAAATGGTACATTAAATATATATAAAAATACACGTGTGTGTGTATACGTACATATAATTTTCTGCTATTTAGTCCCTCTGTAAAAATAAGCTTACACACATTAAAAACAGAACCTCTCCTCCACAGAAAACCCTTACAAATATGATGTATTAAGAAGAATTAGCAAAAATTCGCATTGCAAAGAAACTCAAATTTCGGTCTATACAGATACTCAGCTTGGATCTACATAAAATTTTTGGCAAATAAACACAACAAACTTGCTTTACATAAGCACAACTAAGTAGATCCAGCTATCTTCACATTTTAAAATTTGTCAGCATTTTGTTGGAACTTCATTTTGCAATTCCAATTTTTTTTTCTCTGACAATTTTATATAGGACTTAAGATTTGAAAAAGGAAAACAAAGAATCTGAATAATCACGCACCTGGGTGTATGTACAGTTCTTCTTTTTGCACTTGCCACATGTAAACAGATCAGTCTGAGTACCTCCTGTTTTAGCCATCTGGTGCTCTCTGATAGCTTCTTTGGTCAGATTTTTGCGCATTTCTTTCAGCTCATCACTTGCCATTTCCTATGAAGGACAAAGAGCAGACAGAGTTTACTAGAGAGTTTTAGCTTTAAAACAAGTTACCAGTGTGCGAGCCAATACAATTTTTTATTTAGAATCCATGAACAACAACACTGCTGAAGGGCAATGTAATTCTACACATTTTTAATTTTACAAGACTTAAGCTGGGCTATTTCACAGCACAGAAGCTACAAGAAGTTAAAAATGTTCTCTTTTTTAACACATATAGGAAAAAAAAGTACAAGTTACAACATCAAACATCTAGAAATATTTCTATGCAAATACGCTTCTGAAGTTGAGAAATGTAAGCAAGGCAAGGTAGAGGACTTAAAAGTCCTCCAAAGAGGAAAAAAAGAAGCTCTCCTTATGTTAATCCTTAGATAATTATCTCATTGACCTACATAACATTTATTACAGGAAAAAATTTACATTTTTTTGACTTCTACATTTGTACTGATAATTTACCATATGTCACCAGAAATCATATTAACTTCGTTTCTAAACACTAACCAAAGAGTTCAGAATCATCCATTTTATTTTTTCTTTAAAATAGTTTTAGGGCACAAGATCTCCACAAGGTCTTGTAATCAAGTGTGCACAGCAAAATCAATTTGTTACATTTTTCTTCAATACAATTTTATTCACCACCCCATGTAGAAGTGGAATGAAAATCTTGTAGCAATGCTCTTTCACTTCAAAAGTAATCTTAATACTAAGGGGGTTTTAGCCATTTGACATTTCAATCCAAAACATTAATCAAACAAAGAGTGCGCACTGAACAGGACAAAATATACATTTGTGCATATGTACATAAACATGCAGAACAAAGAAAATCAAAATACATACTGAAGGTACAATTTGCTTTTTTTACACATTCTTTCACCAGCCTCTGTTTACCCTAACTTTTATGTAAAGCCACGGTAAAAAAAAAACAACCACCAAAAAAAACCCATCACAATTTTCTTTTGGAATAAAGTTAGTCATGATTTTCATTAGTCGAACATAATTAATTTCCCTCAGTCTCCAAGACACTCCTTTATATTTCATTTGAGGGACAGAATCTAACACATGGAAGCAGAGCTACAGAACTGAAACATGTTAACAAGAGGCACTTTCATTTTTCTCTACCATGAAATCTAATTTTTCGTTTGAATTTCTAGATCTGTTTTGACTTGTAAAGACATTTTCAGGCCCTCTACCCCAACACAGCCCTGTAATTCGGATTCTGCAAGCCACAAAAAAGTCACAGTCTTTCAGAAGTATGGGCAGCTTACATAGATTACATTTATGGCAGGCCAGGATTTAAGTCCAAGAGGGAAATAGTTCAAGACCTGTGCTTTACTTACCTCTGCTGTCATTTTGGCAAACTTGTCAGGAGGAATGTTTCCACATAATACATTTTTCCTTAGGTTAGGGTTCTTTGCATCCTTGAGATTCGCTATCCTACTTCGTACCCTGTTTTTGTATTTCATATCAGTGTTTTTTAATTCTTGAAAAATAGGTACTTTGGATTTAAGGAACAAAACACAGATAAGTAAAAGAGAGTAAAACATTAACAAGTAAAACAGAGCGTTAAAAAGGATTTATTCTGGGGGGCAAGTTCTAAACCAGTGTACTTCTCCACTGTCCATCAAGTCCTCCCCCCATCCCAACCAACAGCTACCTTCCTGTTCAACACAGCAGAATTCACAACCTTCTGAAGCCTAATCATAGTTTAGCACAGGGTCAGTGAAATATGACTTTTTGGGTAGTAGGACCTCAACTGTAATTGTGAAAAGTCACCCATAACTTTATGTCCAGTTTCTTGATCTTATCCTGAGAATTAATTAATTTCTGAATGAAATATTCAAACAATGACAGCTCACTCACACAAATTTTTTTTGTTAAAAAAAGAAGCACAGACCTCTGTTCTGGAATGATTCAAACACTGGTACCAGAACCACACTTTTGAGAACTGTGAATTCATTTAGAAATAAACTTGTAGAAAATGAAATAAAGACTCTAGAAAATGATTAAGACTGTTAACAAGAAAAGATTTTAAAATAGCATAGAAGAGCCCAGCATTTTATGTAAGAATGCTTCAGTAAGATATAATATTGCTGCTACAAGGAAAACATATTGAGCTGAAAAGAACCCCCACACACTCACCTACATGCATTCCTACATATTTTAAGGCAAATCATTTAGGTTGGGCTGGTTTTTTAAACACTAAATTTATGTACTGATGTGTTGAACACAGTTGCCATTTTTGTTTTACATTAAATATAAAAACACTCAATATATAGATCAAGTTAATTAATTTGAAAATTACTGTGTTTTCCAAAAATACTCCTGCTCTAGAGCACACAGACATACAACAAAGGATATCTTCTTCAATCTGAGAACCCAGCTCTTCTTCATCAGCACCAATAGCAATGTAATCATCTAAGGAAAACAAATGATAAAATATTAGCAACCTGACACTCTGTGCTCTAAAGCCTTGAGATCCCTATAGTTCCAGAACACTGAAACTGAGCAGTGAGTCTTCTTGTTGTATATGTAATTTTAATTTACTGTGTACTTAACCTTTCAAAATTTATTACTTAGAAGAACACAAGTAAGCAAAAGAAGCAGAAGTTTAAAAGAGTCAAAACATTTAAAAACCAAAAAAACTTCTGCTACCTAGTTGTAAACACAATTAGGAATGAAAAACATTGTTATATGGAAAAATCTAAAATATTCCAATGGGCTTGGCATCTCTCCCATCTCCACAGCCTGTGCACAGAACAGACTATTATAAAAGGAAAACATTTTATATTGTGTTTAATCAATTGTTTTAGTCCATACAATACAAGAATAAGCAAATAAATGTTTTGCATGCATGGAAGAGAAAGATTTCATTAGAAACACGGTAATTAAATAACAAACAATCTTATTAGATTTTTTAAATGAAAATCAGAGATGTGTATAAAAGACATAAATTAGAAGAAATACACCACAGAAGTATTGAAGGCACTAAAACACTTGAACTAAAATGTCTCAAGATAACTGTTTACTGTTTTTGACCAAAATGCTCTTCCACAAAGACATCTACCTTTTCAAGACAGCTTAAACACAAATTGCACATAACGTTTGCCTCCTCGTTTCATCATGGGTATATTTCAGTGAGTAACCCAAACACAATTTGTCCTTTGATCTCATATCAAAGGTCATAAAACAATAAAATAACCTTATTTTTTAAACTCATGGATCATCAGTTTACATGTGGTGCAGAAAGCAACATAGCGATAAAGGTTTTTGGAAAACTATTTAAAATGAAGACTACGTACAATTATGAATACTAAGATGCTGTATGTGACTGTCTGGTCCCAAAAGAAGCCTATGAACTATACACCCAGATGACCACTAATTCATGTCTTAAGTCAATGTTACTTATTGTCTATACCTGAATTTACACGAATCAAAAGAAAGAATAAAAGAGTGAAGAAAGTAAACACAGATGATTCAGAAGTCTACTTACACTGGGCCAAATTACACTAAGCTAAGGACAGAGAAAGAGAAACTGGGTCATAATTTTGACAAAGGATACACCAGAAAAAAATCAAGTAATTCTGAAAAGTCCAGCTTTCAGTTTGCTCCTTATCTAGCAAATAATTCAATTCGTCAGTTTAAAGACACCCAAGTGTATACAAGAGATAAAAAGAAATATCCCGGAATAGTCAAGGAATTTACAGATACCCAAAAGGCATGAGGTTAAGAGCAATGCAAGACTCTGTTATTGCAGGTTATCTTAATGAAATGTCCAGAATAAATCAAAATAGAAAGGCAGCCTTCAGAAACTAAAATCTGAAGGCTCCCAGGATCTCTGGTGTAAGAAAGGCAGTCTTGCATATAGTCACATCCTCTCAGTCAGAAAGACTGAGACAGAAAAAAAAATAGAAGCCTCTACAAAAAGGTTTAAATTAAGCATTAAGGAGGCAATAACATTCCTGAAAAGAAGATCCCCTGTTGGCAAGGTATCAGATGAACTGAGCCACAAAATGTCCTGAATTAGCAGCAACAAAAATGCCTTTTGAAACATTCCTATGCCGTCAAGGTTACTCATAACTTGCACCTTGGGTGAACTGGTTTATGGGTCTACACACACAAATGGATGCAAACAGGGTTTATTCTACCCTACAGGGTAGGAGAAGAGTGGGAAAGACAGAAATAGAGAAGAAGGAAATAGTTAAACTTGAAAATATAGTCTGCAAAGCTCACCTCCTGTTCTGAGAGCTGCAGAGAGCATTTCTCTACATTTCACTCGTACAGAGTCTGAAGTGCTTGGAGCCCGGGGAAAAGAAGGGATGAAAGAATTTGAGGGAGCACTACCCTCCTCCTTCCTGCTGCTGGAATTGCTACTTGAACTGCTAAGAAAAGGCAAAATTAAAACCAGTATTAATGTTTTTTTCCCCTTCAAACAACTTTGTTTCTGGGCAAAATACGGGTCTTTTGCTACATTTGATGGTATTCCAAAATAAGAACAGGCCACCTTTTAAAAGTTATTTATAGCTCTAGAGTCAGTACAATTTTTAAAGTGTCTTTAGACTATTCACTAGGGTATTCCACACAATAGAGACACAGCAGGTATTTCATTCCTTTATGTGGCACATAAGCTTTAATTCTCAGTTCTTTACATTAACGTGAAATCTTTTTTCCTCCCACAGACCTTTACTTTAAGAAACAGTGACGATACATCACACCGACATTCACTCTGCAGCGAATGCCTTGCATTCAATCTGCTTACTGTACTGAAGGGGTGCCATGGTCACAAAAAAGCCCCCACAATTTATGTAGTTTTGCAAACTGTAAACCAAGTTTTCAGCTTCTATCTGGACATACAGTTGGAGGTTAAACTTCAATTTTAAAATGGCTGCTGAAAAGAGATCACTAAACTCAGAAACCTATAGAAGAAACGGGCTTGCAAATACTCTTTTGTAAATGTTCTTTAGCTCCTGCAGTGACATTAATGCAGGCTTCTTTTTCTGGTAACATACTCTGTGTTTACCAAAAAAAGCACAGAATGTTTATTAAACATAAAAGCTAACACACAAAAGGACCATATGCAATTACCACAAAGCACAGACTGAGAGCTGTTTGACAGTTCTCAAAGTTCAGTGCTAGTACCGAGAGAGGACAGAGTATTTGACAGACCCAACAGATGGAATAAACAAAACTTGTCTGGCCATATCTTGACCTATGTATGTTTTTTTTAATCATGTCAACAGTAGCACAGTTTACTTCCCCAACAACACATTGTTTCTTGTACAACTCTGTCTTTCAGAAAAGAACACGGCAGCTGTCTCTAATATTACCAATTCAGACCAAATAGTTTAGCATTAATTTATACTGAGTGAGACTATTTGCACAGCCATTAAGAATTAAGCACCTTTCTTCTCTGGCATCAGGGCTGTTTTGTGAGGAAGATGCAGGCTCCTTTTTCTTTTCTTCAGAATCTTTATCAGTTGAAGGTCCATCTGGAAATACAAAACATGAGAAACTCTCTTCTACCCAGAAATAGTAACTGATTTAAAGCAGTGGTAAAATATCATGATTTCTCCTGAATCAGTTAGAAATGCTATCAGCTCCCACTCTCTGCTTTGACCTTCTCTTGCAGTACAGCCTTCCACTTCCCAACACCCTCCCAATGCAGGAAATGGAAAACATGACAACACTTCAGATCCTTCAAGTCCAGCATCTGCTTAAACTGGCAGTGAAGACATGACGGAAACATAGACTTGTATGCTTTATTTTTTCCAACACTCCTGCATTAGGTAGACAGTAACTTCCCAGGTATTGCATCAAGTCTCTGGAATTTGTCTTCCATGCTTTATATACTTAAGTTCCTACTGCATACATGTCATTCTTTTTAATTATGGTGTGGAAGACACCATAGTTGGCAAAACAGAAACTCATTTTCATATTTTCGATGGAGATTTCCAGACACACAATATTTTCTGCGATAGCTCTTAAATTACATGCCTCAGTATTTAAACATATTTGAATCAGCCATTCCCATACAGGTTATGTTTCACTATGCTTTTATAAAGAATAAAGACAAAAGTCTTTATAGAAAAGAATAATCACAACATTTAACTCTAGCACAGCAAAAATGTATACACCCTTCCATTGTAAAGAGGATTTCAGAGTCGCTAAATTGAGTGCCTGCTTTGATTTGTTCTCTAGAAAGGATGGCTCTCTACTGCCTACAGAGAAAGCCTAGTGAGATTGGCATCACTGATTGACAGATTTCATGAATTCTTCTTTCCAAGCCCTTATAAAGATGCTATTACACTTCTAAATTCGTAGACTGTATTACTGTAATAAGCATATATTACAAACTTTAAATTCATTAAAAACAGGACAAGAAAAGGAGGGAAATCTGTTAAGGCTCAGTCTTGCCAAGAAAGATGTCCTGAATTAAGCACGTAAATCCTTGTTTAAGCATCTAAATGTATTCTTATTTCCAGAGAAACCCCATCCATGTGCTTCTCAGAGGAACTTGGTTGCACGCAACACAAATTTGGGTCTCTTCAAACATTGAGCTTTTTAATTTGATTTTTATAGAGCAGAAAATAACTGTGCTGGCTTTATTTTTATAGGAACAATAAACTGAACATGATTTTGATCCTTTCCTTAACCTGTGAGTTAAGGAATTTATCCAAATACCACTTTGTTAAAAAATCATCATAAAAGGAGAGCAGAGAGAGCAGTACTGGATCAGACCAGGCACCAATCTACTATCCTGTCTCCAGCTGCACCTATAAAGAGATGCACACAAAATAGTACAGGAACCAGAAAAGCACAAGAAGATACTTCTTCAGAGTATTTCTCCAGCCTTCAAGAGATCACCCATTGTTTGCAATGTTGTATTCAATCCTTGGTAGATTTCGTTTAGGAAAAAAAAGATAATTAAACACAGATGATGCACTCAAGGCTGATTGTCTTTAATAATCTGAAGATGTTATTTTAAAAAATTCCTAATAAAGAGACCAATTTAACAACTTGTTTATAAAAATAATTTCACTAAGAAAGCAAACAAGACTATAAACTGAATGGATCACATGAGTTCTCTGCTATGACAACTGAAGTGCACTAAGAGAAAGAAAACAACTCCCATTTTTAACACACATACTCACTCTCTCTATGGCAACAACTGATTACATGATATAATCTTTAAAGATGTTCCAAATATGCATACAATCTTATTTAACTTCATAATGTTTTAAGTACATGCTCATTTTTGTCAGAGGCTTTAAGACAAGGCTTGGGGTACAGCTCAAGTCCTGTAAAGCAGGAGCTGTGCTACATTTACCTACACTTTTTTTTTTTCTGGCACACAAGTTGTCAAATTCAGGTCCAACTTGTGTATCTCGTGCTTACTATGCACAGACACCACAGTGGTATAGCTGGCACCCAGATCTCTTTTATCAAACACTTCCATTCAGCCCAGCACCATTTCACCACGGGCAGGCACTTGCCACCACCTGCCTGTAGCCCAATGGCTTCTTTCCTTCTGGAGGGCAGGGTATACACAAGGCACACAGATAAAAGCACAGCTCCTCCTACAGCTGCAGACCAGTCTGTGCAAGGACGTCTCTCAAACCAAGGTCAGACGTGAGCAGCTGAGACTGGACATCTTTAGCAAGTATGTCTTCAAAACTACGGCTTCTTTAATTACTGAAGAGTTTTTGCTTAATCTAGTTTCAGAAAGCTGAAAATAAAGTTAATATTATCCTAAGCGTTTAAGTCACTTTATGGCTCATAAATTGGAAAGCACTAGAAGAGATGCTTTCCATCTTTAAACTCACACAGTAATAAGGATATCTTGTTTTACCGAAATACTGTATTGACAAAAGAACAGAGTGTAATTAACAGCCTGCTAGGCAGCATTTCATCTATCCTCTGGGGATAGAAAAATTATCCTTGACAAATTAAAAGTCCCTACTAATTAGCTTATTTTACATTCAATGACCAGACTCTAATACGGAGGAAGAATGACATCTAATGGGAGCTATGAACAACCACAGAAATTCTAACAAAGTAAGGTGGAAAAAAATGGCCCTTCTGTGAAATGTCTTTAAAAATTCCAATGTGATTCACCTCAGGAAGTCTACAGAACATTATAAATATTTATATACTACAAACTACAAGTTGTGCAGTTCCTTTTTGCAACTCCATAAAACTACTCAAACTTACCAAATTTTTCTTCAGAAACAAATGGAAACTGTCACCAATTTTAGGACTGAAAACTGTAACTTCGCAGTTTTAGCTACTGCATCTTCAGGCAGCCATAAAAAAATCTCAAAGCTTTGATTTTTTATAAGAGAAGTTGATTTATAGTAATACTTCTTTAAAATACAAAGAACATGGTAGTAACAAGAATAGACTATTAGTCATTGGAATAAGACATTCAAAGTTTAACAATGGCACTGCAGTTTCTACCTGGGGCTTGCAATTAATTTGAAAGATACTTGAAGTGTCTCCAGTGAAAAATCTCTCCAGCGTCAAACAAGACATAACAGTGGTTTGTGTTATCAAACCAAAAAATTTAATGCAATAAGATACAGCCAGATAACATAATTAATCTGAATGTTAGAAGCCATTAAATAGCTTTCTCCTAGATTTTTCTATGTTACAAGCCAACACTAGACGTTTGCTAGTAACAAGAAAAAAACAGAAAATATAAAGATGAAATGTTATTAATTTATAAATCTAACTTCAAATTAAGAAAAATATTAAAGTAATTTTTTTTTTCCAGAAACATTAATGAAAGGTGGCTAGTTATTACCTGGAAGCACATGAAAATTTAATTTACCAGGATATCCTGTGTTGCCTACTAAGGAATCACCACCAGAAGTTGTTTCTGAGTGGTGATTCAGTTTAAATAAGCTAAATGAAACAGATAAGAGAACAGGTATTAAATTACATAATTATTAATTCAACAATGATCTTCATATGCAATAATTATTTAGGCTCCACTTTCCAGACTCTGACCAAATAATCTTGAGATGCACAAGCACCTACACTTGCCAGCAATTCCTCTACAAGATGTAGTAAGGCGTGAAGGTAAGAGCAGTAGAAGTTTCTTTTCAGTAGTAGCTCTGGAAGGTGGAATATCTAAAAGTCCATAAATAAACAACAAAATTATGAACTGTTTGCTAAAGATTTTTTTATCATCAGTGTCAAAAGACCATGACACATGGACTTATTAACTATATGTGTTTTTCTCTTATATAGTATAATGCATTGTGTGTTGTTATCTCTCCACTGATTAGCTTAACAAATTACAGACCTACTAACAGTACATGAACAGTTCCAAATATACACTTCAGAAGAGGTGATTTATACAGCTCATACTTGATACGAAAATGAGACTACTGAAATTGTTTTTGCACTTGATTCTGCTTGATGTCTTAAAAAGACATGTACTCTTCTTATCAAAAGTAAATAATATTCATAAATGCTATTAGACTCTAATTTAAGAACTTGCTTTGCCAGGAACATTTTTTTTTTTTTTTTGAGCAAAGCCAATAGGCTTTGAGATGTCCTTGAACAACTTCACTTATGACAGCATTAACATACCTGTAAGATAGTCCTACACTTCACCTGCTGGCTCCAGGAGAATCAAATCCAGGTTTGAAATAACAAAGGATTTTGTAAACAAAGTAATCTTTGTGAAATACTTCTGTGATGCTTGACTGGTGTTATTAACACTTAAACACTCTTAAAATAAAATTACTCAGGCATGCCCTTCTTTGAAATAGGCATTTCAAAGTGTTTGTGGCCTCACTCTTAGTTTTCAATACTAGCAACAGATGATCACTTAATATTAAGACTATTGTGCCATCCTTCTGCATTTTCAGTTCAGTATATAAAGTTATTGGAGGAAAGTTCACCTACAGGTCTGGACATTCTTTTTCACTGTATACTCTTCAGTTCAGCAAGTAATTATTTACTATGAGGGTTATATTCCTTAAGGAAAATTTGTTGCTTTTCTAATATAGGAAACACTCCTAACAATCTAAACGAGTGTGCATAGATTCATTACCTGCACAGCATACTCTGTATATTCAGCAACTTGGCAAAGCAATCATTATTGGTAAATCCCATGCTACAACTGAGCAGCATTTTATTCTGAGCTGAATTTAGCTCCTTATGCAAATTGTGACCATCTCTGCTGTGTAGTTTAACTTTCAGAAAGTATCTGAAAGGGACCTTCACTGTGGCTCACCCAGTGAGTCACTTCAGAATAGTCACAAGCCCTCTGCTGCACAGCTTCTGACCCCTCCAAAAAACGTTTGATAACGTGGGAAGGCTCAAGTCAAGCCACAAAGATCTGGTGATTCACAACTCACTTTGATTTATTCTCATGTTTCCCATGCATTCCTAAAAACTAAATTCTGATAGCATTGAACTGAAACATTACATGCAGCCTGAACAGTGAACAATTCTTGCCTAAATTCAAAATGTCATTTATAAAAATAACTCACAAAGACTTCAGAGCTCTGAGTACAATGCTTGGTACGATTAACAGCTGTCCGCTTCTGCTGCCATCTTTGCTCCATACCATTTTACATGCACTATAAACAGCATAATCGAAACTGATTTCTCAAGCAGCTCAACATACGGTATTTCGCATTCTTCCAAGAAAGCCAAAACTAATGATAAAACAGAATAAGAGTACTTTGTAAGATTCCCACCCATATTTATACCCTATCTTTCACAGTTATGAAACTTTATGTTCTAATGAGTTACTGAGCAGTGATAGAAGAGGCAAAACATCTGCCTTACTATGCTTTATTATAAGATCTACATTACAACCAACGAAAATTTAACTACCGAAGTTTGCAATGTAAGCAGTGCTGTATTTTCAGGATTCATTTGATTTTATATTGTAAGTGCATTACTACAATTATACCAGAGCTGGCACAATAATGTACACATAATATCTGTTCTGTAACAAAAATTAGCACATGAACAAAGGTCACATAGTCACTGCCTCAAGAAGTATTCAGTTCTGATAAATGCAAAATATTTCTTATTTGCTTTCCAGTTCCTCACATGTTTGACTTCACCTCTTGCAAAATGCCTTAGTTAGAGTGTCCCAACTGTGTTAAAACAATCTGAATCTAGCAAGCTACAAAAGGGGAAGGTCCACCTTGCCCCAGCTGTTTGTTACTGCTACAATCCCTGTGCAGGAAACAGCAACTGCAAACAGGCTGGATCAAAAAGTGATAGTTGAAATTTAAGCCAGAAGAAATGAACAAAACAATTAGTATCCAACTGGTCAGTTCCCAGCTCTGGTCTTCTGGATAGCCACTCCAGCACTAGCTGTAACACAGGAGGGAGCAAAGAGGCGCCTGTGCAGAAGGGAAGTCAGGAGCACGCCTTTGCACAGCAGCTGACACCCAGATTGACCTGCTGTGACCTTTAGGCACCACATTCTTACCCTGACTACTACAGCATGGAAACCCTCCAGGCAGGAGTGACACTCCCCATGTTTCACAATGTCTGAACACTTAAACACCAAAAAACTTTAAATAACAATGTATTTAGACAATTTTGATTGACTTAAGGAATTCAAGCGTTTAAAAAAATGAGACAATTATTTTTAGTGTAGTGTCTCAACAAAAAAAATGGCAAGTCCTCTAGTCAAAGGACAGCAATAATCAGGCAGATCTCCCACTACCCAAGGAGAGCAGCATCTGAGGACACTCCTGGTGAGAATTCTGTTAGAAATGAGAGTATCTCCTCTACTATGCTGTCTAAGCTATGTGGCAGTATTAAAAATTTGATCTTCCAAGAAAAAAAATTAACTCTCACCAAATATTGATAGAGTTTTGTTTTTAAAATTTAGACTAATAACTTATAATGACTTGAGTGCTAAATCGCTCAATCCAGCAGCTACTTTTAGAAGTCTTTAGAGTAACTGACGCTAATATGCAAGTCAATTTCTCCATCTATATACCTTACCGCTTTTATTCACTGATAATAAAACTGGACTTCCACATTTAAGTTTAAAAATAAAAAGTATATTACTTTCACTATTTACCAGTTAACTCTGATCAGATCCTACACTAAGATCCTGTATATGCATTTACTTTTATTATTAAGGTTATTATGAATTTAAAGGCATTTTATAAGCATGTCTAGTATTATCTAATTTTAACTACTAAAAATAACATTAGTAGGTAGGTTAAAAGTCTTTAAGGTAGCTTAAACAAGTTTGCTGTACAGGTTGTTGTTTCTTACTAGAGTATCAAAGTTTAAGGTTCTGAAAAATTGTCAATTTCTACAGACAGAGTATTTTCTATATCATTTACAAGATAGTAATAAAGTATCTGATAAAACATTTCACAATTGATAAAAATGAGGCTGAGTTCAAATGGTAGGGGACTTACACTCTCGTGGTATTTGGCATATTTTTCCAGACAGAATGGTAAATATTTAAATCATTATGTAAACTGTTTTCTATTCTAAAATTTTAAGCTTCAAAAATATTAATTTACCTAAGCTTACATACAAAGAAACAAAACAGAGTGCACCACAGTGTATGAACAAAAATATCTGGACATATTCTGAGATTTAAGTGGTTTCAGATATATTAAGTACTACCAAATACCCTTGAATAAAATCCTAACAGAAAGGTTTTAAGCTTATTAATTGCTTTAAGGGAAATTAAACAAAGTATTAAGGTGTAATTAGTAAGCTGTTTAAAATTATGAAGGTTTTAGTTTTAGAAAGTGCAGCTCTGTTTCTCACTACCTCTAAGTTCTAACATCTAAGATTTTAACATTTTTAATGGTTTTTTCTCTTCATAACCAAACATCAAAGCCTCCACACTCTCACATGAGATTCTGCACTAGTTCTTCAGAGTACTTGTTACATTTGACGAAGAAAATAGTCAAGAAGTTTGTTAGTGCTTAGTGCTGCAGTACAGTCACTCCAGCTCAACTGCAGGCAATGAGACTTCAGAAATGAATCACATCAGAGAAGCTGATTTCCTGCTGCCTGCCAGCGCCAATAAAATACTTTGTTTCTCTGCACACACTCTCACAGTAATGGCCTGGCGACAGTCAAAGAGTAAAAAAACAATTACACCAGCACAGGAAGTTTCAACATTCACACAAAAGCACAAATACGCCTAAAACAAGGTAGTGCCAATGATGAGCACCAAGGCTACACAGAGTTAAAATATGCAAGAGCAGGGATGTTTCTGTTGCCATACCTAACAGCTTCTTCCAAGACTTGATAAGAGATTTTGCTAAAGATGTAACCTCTTCATCTGTGCTTTGCTTGCGTATTGCATTCACTGACATTCCAATTCTGGTAGACTGCAAAAGGAACAGAAATATACATTATCACAAGTGACATGAAGACAATTTAACAAATAAACATATATACATTTGTACTTGACATGAGTTTTTACAGTATCTTTTTTCTTTTGTGGTGGGTTTGTTTCCTTTTTTCTTGTGATTCTCAGGACAAAATACTGCAAGCCTTTAGAAAAAATATTTTAACAACATGGACATTTTAAAAAGAAATACAACAGTATTACCAACTGTCTTCATCACAAAAATTTGGGGAGGGGTGGGCAGTGATGGTGGACACAAGGATTAAGGATTGTATTTATATATCAGCACTATAAGAAGCTTGCTGACTTCTTCATTGACATCATACTCTTAGAATTCCCATTTATTGGCTGTGGAAAAAGCTGTAATACCCAGCTGGGAGCAAGCATGTTTTAGGTACCTAAAAATTTTGGTGATACTGAGATTCTTTAGAATCATTAGCACAGAGGGTTCTGACTTTAGACAGAAGCAGTACTCTCTGTGTTTAAGATTTTAAAGAATGATCTATCCTATCTTTCTGAAAAGGCCAAGACGGTGACAAGCTTTAAGGCTTTGGCACTACTGCCACCTACAGAGTGAATATGAGAGTAAGTTACAATTCACGCCTTGCAAGACTCAGATGATGATGACATAAATGTAGCTCAACAGTAACATTTTAGAAGATTTATGGCTAATGTGTACATGTAACAAGGAGAAAATTTCCACCCTTTTAGCTTCACAAGAGGAGAAAAGCATTTAACAATATAAATAAGGATTTTATTATCTTTTTGAATTCTGACTGATGACTAAATTTTTTTATTTGCTATCAAGATGCTCAGTTTTGTTGCATTACCATTTACAGAACTCACTAAATATAAATTACTCTACTTACTTTTACAATAGATCATCATAAACTTCCTTCTTCTTAAAAGGAAAATTTAAATCTTTGTGGCTCGCTAAAAATGGAAATGATTTGTTCCTGTAAATTACTTCTTACAACCCAAACAACACATTCTGAGGCACCACGGATGTGCTAAATGACTGGAAACATACTGAAATAATCCATAGCTATTTCAGCCAAGGAAACATATTAAATAACCTCAGGCCTGAGCATCAGCTCTAAACATGCATTTTGAATTAAAGAAAACAAATGGTTACTCACCTGTAACTAAAATGTTCCAAGATGGACTCTGCTCACCCACATTAATGGTATTGGCCATTTCTCTTGATATTTTGAACACTTAAATCTCATCAATATGTTCAGACAGTAAAAAAATAAGATGTCCTTGAAAATCCATAAAACACCACATCTGGATGAGAAAAATGTATCTACCAAAAAACCCAACCCTCCATTAATAGCTGGGCACAATGACAGCCTACACTCATCAGCGAAGGGAAATCACACAAACTTACAGACTTACTTAGCTAAGTAAAATCCAAAACCTTAAGTAAAACTCAAAACTAACCAGAAAAATTTCTTCTTCTGATCACACAAGAGAGACAGTTTATGGGAACTTTCTGAACTGCCAGCTTTCTTAAAGCAGTACATTAAAAAAAACTCATTTGCTTGCTTTTACAGAGCACTGGATCAGGTCTACCTGAAGAGAGGGAGTAATGATCTACTAATTTATCTGCCTTCTAACTGGCACAGATAGTCACAGAAGATCAGTTTATATTCTCATTACTATGTTTTAGTGACAAACCAGCTGACAGTATTTTAAATTTCCTTAGTCGTCCCCTCTGTAGAGCTGTTCTTGCGATTGCCATTGTTAAATGAAAAACTCCAGTATTTTCATTCTTTCCCACTTTAAATTCTAGAGCCCTTTCAGAGTAAGGACAGTCAAAGACAGCTTAAGACAGCTGTTTTCACCCTGAAGCACTGAAGCTTTGGCCAGAAGTGCTCAGTAGGTGCGGTGTAAGCAGTAGTGAGCACAAGTAACCTTTGACTGAACACAGAGCACACGGTGGCAGCAGGTGTTCTCTAAACCAGAACAAATGCAAAAATGTAAGGAACACAGCTGGGGAGGGAGAGCAACCACCGAAGCAAGCAGACCTGCTTCCAACTTTAAACTGTAAGTGTATGAGGACAGAGAATTGGTGAGCACTCAGAGCAAAGCAGAGCCAAACCAACCACTGAAGAATAACCATCCCTGGGTTTCTAGGTCTTGCCAGTGAACTGCCCTGAAGCCATTAACAAGGGCTGTACATCACAGCCTAGTTCTGCACATGTGTGTGTCATTTCCTGTAAAACCTGTTTGTGAAAATACAGCCTGACTGTGTCACTCATTGTTTAGCAGTGCACTAACCACAATTAGCACCAGGGACACGATGCCTTTAATGCTCTGAAGCTGCTAAACAGATTTGCAAGTCAGACCACCGGATAAATTGTGTGAGGAAGCCTACTGGCTCCCTGCCTAGCTGAGAAAGGATCAGCTTGCTTACATAAAGCTCATCAGATGTAACACAGTGGTATTACTGCTTGTAATCACTTCAGCTTTCTGTGAAAATAAATGTGGCAAAAAAGACAAAAGATACCAGCACAAGTCCAGACTACTAATATGTACCTTCCTATTGCATATACCTGTGAAACTAGACAGAGGACCTCATAATTTCAGGCTGAGGTAGCAGTGGATTTACACAAAAAATCATCACTTCTCTTATTACACAGGAATAACAGAGCTAGCAGAGCTTTTCTCAATGTAGCAAGCTTTCATAGCTTCTCAAAAATGGGTAAGGAAGTATGCTTTTCACTTTTGTTCTGCATTTCATCAATTCAAACACATGTGTCAGAAGTCTTGATCTGCACAGAGGAAGATAGTGCCTCCACTATCTCATGATCATCACCCTTCCTGACACTGGCACGCCAATGATCCACCACCAGAGCAATGAGTACAATTTCTTCGCATTTCAGCTCTTGCTCCGAGTCCACCATTGCTTAAGCAAATTTGGGAGGCCAACAAAGAAAGTTTATGTCAGACTTTATATATTATCAAACTCTCAAAGAAAAAAAAAAAGTAAATTTAAGTCCAAATATGTTGCTAAATGCAATCTTATGCAGTGGAACTGTTTTGAATACAGCAATGGATATTTATGAAAAGCTTCCTAACTAAGGTACAGACAATGCACTATGCAAGAGTATCCCAATATACTTGAAATTCCAGAGCCCTTGCAAAGAAATTTTTAACTCCAAAGGCAAAATAATGTTATTATACTTAATGCAAAATATAATTTGCATTAAGACCTGCACAAAGCAACTCTAAAAAATCAGGTTAACCAGTGGGGTTTTCTGGGTTTTGTTCTTATTTTGTGTGGGGTAGTTCTTCTGGGGGGTTTTGAGTTTTCTTTTTAAGGAAGAAGGTTGAACATAGGGGACAAAGCGTCAGAGTTGTACCAGCATTCATGCACAAAAGTGGCACCTTAAAAATCCTATTTTCTGTCAGAAATCGTATTAGTAATAACTTCATAAAAACTAAGTACATTCTGCAAGTATATAGGACACATGAATCAAAAATGTTATCACTCCTGACACCTTTAAAATTTGAACTTTATAACTAATTCTTTATCTGTGACCATTAATTGCCCCATAGATAAAAGATATTTTTCAGTCTCCTCCAATTTAAGTGGCTACTACAGCAAATCAGGACTCAGATTTAAGTGAAATTTTAAAATTTTCACAGATAGGGAATATCTGGCTAGTTTGGAACAAAAGTTGGTCACTGATGAATTACATGACAAGCTCTGAAACTTGTCATGTAAAGAAAGTTGACCAAGTTTATTTTTTGAAAGAATTTACAAATAATATATGAAATATTGCTAAAGATGTAAATCTAAGCAACATTAGTGAAAGTATCCATGCAACTGGGAGAGATTTTATCCCTCCATCACTTCCAGCCCAGGAGAGTAAAAGAGGAGTATAATTTCCTTAAGAAATACATTACTCAGAATGAGGGAGGGGGACATGGAGTGTGTGTCAAATAGAACTTGCCTAAGAGGTATCAACTACGTTTCTCCTCACCTACAAGACAAAACCAGAACTAACTACATAAGAAAAGATGGTATCAGATATAACCAGATGCATTCTCCTTCAAGAGGAAGAAAACACACCTCATTTGTTTTAGAGTAAAAATTTAAGATTCTATGACTGCTAAATTTGTATGCAGCTCTTCTCCCTCATCCACAACAAAATTCACAACTCTCAATTTAATCAGAAAGATAAGCTTTAGGAGTTTGCTACTGGAAGAAAATACTTAAGATAAGTGTGCTAAATCAGGTGAAGTGAGACTAGATTACCATGTAACAAAACTGATGCTTCCAAGGACTTTGGACTTAGGAATCTATTTAAATAGTGTAACCTTCATTCAAATCTGCTGGCTCCACCTTCTTTATTAGGGAGTTAACATTTGCAACACAACAACAATAAGACAATCATACCTGTAGTAACTCAAGGGTCATGGGAATATTCTTAAGCTCCTTCAACAAATCAAGAGCTCCAGCCTAAAAAAAAGGAAGAAAATAGAAAAGTCAACTTAGTAGCAATCAGGAACTCCAAATAAAATATCAAGAACATAATCTTATCTGCCTTCATGGTCACACACTGGGTTCCAACTACCAGTTCTCAATTTATCCACAGAACTAGAACAAGGAATGTTCCACTTTACAATCTCTAAGCATTACCAGGCCTTAACTTTGAAATCAAAGTGTTCACTCAAAGACTAGGGGAGTTTTATCCCATGTAACTCAAATGACAGTAAAAGCATTCTGTCAATTACTACCTAGCCAACACACATCTTTAAGGGTGCTTCGCTTAACAGCATCAGAAACAATCCACACAACAGCAGCAACTTTCAGTTCAGAACAACCACATCAGTTTTAGGACAAGAACTTGGAGTTGAGAAGCTCTGCACAGTCCATCAATAATGCACATATATATATAAAGCATGCACAGACATCATTCTTAACTGTATTTGTGGTGATATGGTAAAGCCACATGTTGTTGGTTTTTCTTTTTCCCCTGCTAAGACTGTTAGGAAAGGTACTAACTAATTCTGTGCAAGCGGCTTTCTAGATAGATGATTCAAGTTCAGAGATTGCACTATTACATGTTAACAAACATCTAATATATAGTATACCCAGCTCCTTTAATGATTTGTTCCTTAACAATTTAGGCTTTAACTTAAAAAACTGTGCATAAATATGAGCTCTGTAATTCTTTTTAACCTCTCCAATCTTGATGATTTACCAACTCTACTTCAGCAAAGCTCTGCACCATCCACTTCTGACAGTGCACATGGGCTGTCAGCCTACACAAACCTCCCAAAGGCTGAGATGATTTGGCTGTTATTCAACTGCACGTGGTGCTAGACCTGGAAGCTATGAACAGAAGGGAGGCAACAAGTGCCTGTGCATCCAAGAGGCCATTCAGTTCACTCAGGCTAAGTTCATTACCTTTTTTCTTTTTTTTTTTTTTTTTTTTAATTCATGAGGTTTGGAAATAAATCCCACAAAATATCCATTTGCAAATCTGTGGAATTTGATTCACTTTTCTTTCCTTACCTCTTAACTCATCCTATTTTATTTTGCTTGCTTTTCAAATTCTCCGTAATCAACTTCTATTATAACACCGGCTGCAAGGAAACTTAAAATATTCTGCTACAATTGCAGTCTTACACTTTAACCACTACAGATAAAATAGCCACCAGGAGGTTGAGAAAGATGGAAGTGGAACTTAGGTGTCACATCTAAAAACCCTCAGCTTTGGACACCTTCAAATGTTGGCTACAACCTTTGTTTTTCAAACACTTCTGACCCAAAGAAATCTCCAGACCCAAACATTGCACCAGATCCCACCTTACATAAATTCAAATTAACATATAAAGCTAATGTTTTACTATTTTGCCATGACAGCAAAAGTTCTATTTAACTTTTATTCATGTTATACAAAACTTCTCCAGTCTTAACCGCAGAATTTTAGCAGCAATGATGCAAGACTGAGAAATGTCACAATGTTTTCAGGTGCTAAATTGAGTTGGCATACTAAACCATATCTTTCTCTCAACAGCCATAAGTGTGGTTTCCTCTGTGCAAACACAGATCCAAATAAAGCAAGTTAATTATCTTTGCTGCTACAAAACAAAATCAAATTTAAGAAAATTTTACAAATCTCATAACAGAAGTCAATGTGCCATTTTAAAAAATATAATCCAATAAGATTTATCTCCAAACAAATTAAGTTATTAGCACACTGTACACAGCATGTAATTTTAAAATTAACACAGCTGATTGTAGTCTGCAAATTCAACATGAAAGTAACACGGTAATGCAAAGCAGCATTCTCTTCATCTCATCTGAGAAATACAGCCTAGTCAAAATTCCTTTACCTGTTATATTCCTTCCCAACCGCACATGTGAAAACAAATTTATTATTCCCAGAGTAAATGTTTTCCAATACTAGCAACTTGATACATAGCAGGTTGACATGCATGTTGACATGCAACAATTAAAAAAAAAAAAAAAAAATCTAAACCAGAAAACAAACAAAAAACCAAGGAAACAAACAAACAAACAAAAACCACAAAAAAACCCACAAACAAACAAGAACAAAAAGAAACCCAAAAACAAACAAAAAACCAAAAAAAAGCCACACCAAATCAAAAAACAACAGGTTAACAGATGTTATCTACATTTTATGCTGATTTCTGCACCAAATTATCAAAATTGATAATGCACTAATCCTTTCTAAGCCTTCACTTCTCTAATCAATTATACTGTGCACCATGAATTAGATGCTTTAAAATTAAATTTAAATTGGTTTTAAACTCATACCAACTAAACAGCTTTTCATAATCACTATTCTTAGCATCAAGTCAAATGCTCTCTGTATCTCAAAACTAGTGTGGAAGTTGCACAGCATAACTTGTAATTACATTTCTCCTAACGTAGGACTTCTGTGTTCAAAAAACCCCCTCAATCATTAAGACCATTGTTATAAACCCTCTTTTAAAGGCATTTCTATAACTTTATAGAGAATGAAAGGCAATGTGCCATTCTCCTAAGCTGGCTGGTTTTCAATATATCTTGTCACTCAACAGAAGTCAGTTTCATACAGACTCAGTAGATTACTCCTCTCAGCTTCTTTCAGTTGGCCAGACCACAACAGCACAGAACAATATTCTATAGTCATATTTTAAAAGCTGAGCTTCAGGCAATAGAAAATGAAGTACATTTTTGAAGACAGCAGAGCTATGCAGTTATAATTTCATTCTACTTAAAGGAGTATACATTTAATAACACAGACAATTTTATTTTCTTCTCTAAATTTACTCAAGCATTCTTGATTTCTTTTTTTTTATCCATGGGTGCAGCCTTAGTTTTCACACCTATTCATTACAACAGCTTAATGAAAGAAAGGTGTACTTACATACAACCGAAGCTCAAAGGAAGGCACTACAGGTTTTAATCCAACCACATTCTGAAGGAGGAGTAGAATCTATTTCAATTTGAAGCAACAGCAGAAATACGTATGGCACAGTGCATTAAATACTAAATCAGATTATCTCCTCCTTCAAAACAAAAGAACTGCATATATAATTTCACTAAAATAGTTATGAAATCTGCACACCTACAATTAAATCCTTAGTGAAGGCAAATCACCAAGAGTCTGACTCAGAAATGAGTGTCTGCATGGCCTGCCCTTTTAACTCATCAAAAGACATGTCACAGAGTGCTTTGCCACAAGCCAGAGTCACCTTTTGTATGAGAGATCAAACATTTCTGGTCATCTGACTCTTGACAACTTCAGAGAGAGCAAGTATCAAAGTTTTCTTTCTTATATTATTAATGTGTCTCATCAAATCACTCTCATTCAAAGACACAGACCAAATACCTGCTCTTGATGAGTATAAATGGAGAAAGGAACACAAGAGGTTGACAAGAGCACCATTATTCAGTGGGTACTTGTGTAAGAATGCATTTATCAATTCTTCTTCATCTTTGTAAGACAATAAAGTACCACTTCATAAGACTACCTTAATAATTTTGCTAAAGTTAGCATTTAACTGCAGGGCAGAATTAGGTAGCAAATCACTTTGTGCAATAAAGAAATACCTTGTAAATGACAAAGACGTAGTAAAAACAACACAGAGACATCTCCTGGTTTGAACACTAAAGTACATCCTCTCCTTTGATGCCGCTAAGGGTTTTTATCATGCTACACACACGTACTTTGGACAAACTGTCAGATCTCCACTCTCGGCCACAGCGGCAGCTCATCGAGAAAACATCAGCCTAACAAAGGAGCCACTTGTGAGCAGCAAGGAGCCTAACTGAAGGAGCTCTGTTCCAGCACAGTACAAAAGCCCGACGCCTCCGGTGCCCCCTCGCTCCCACTCCTCGCTCTCACTGCTGGGACAGAGGTGAACACGAGGGTCCAGCTCCGGCTCCAGCCAGGCACAGCTGTGCCCGCTGTGTTCAGCCACGTCACCCCTGCGCTGACCCCAGGGAAGTCACCGCAGCGCTCCCCAGAGCTCTGGAAGTTAATTGTGTTACACATGCTAGAGTGTGAATATATGTTCCCAGCTGCTGTTAGGAATTTCATCCAAACTCCTAAGCCTCTCAGATCACAGAGAAATATCCTGTCGTCCCTGCAGCATCCCTGGTATGGCTACTCCCCAGAATCAACAGTCATTCTCATGCTACCTGAGAGCTGTCGTTTTCTTTCTGTTATCAGAAGTTTTACAAATAAAATGGAGTTGGCTGCCCTTTATCAGTCTCATGACTGTGATATTTAAGCATTTCAGTCAGTAAATCTTCACCCTTTCAACACCTTGTAGGAAAGAGCCACTATTTCAGTTTTAGAGAAAGTGAGACAGCAAATGCTTTTGTGCTTAAATGCATGGATAATAGAAATAAAAACAAAGAGGGGATAAGAATGGAATTAATAAATACCAGTTATAAAATATTCTTTCCTCTAGACAAGGGACTTGCTGCCACAATGTATCATTTGAGAGCTCAAATATATCAGAGCTAAACCATGCCATATTATGGAACCTTACGGATTGAAGCACGGCTTGTGTGTACTGACAATGAATTTGTTTGCATTCTGAACTACACAAATCTCTTTGGTTTAATACAGCCAGTATTTCTACAAATATGAAAATATTATTAATAATGCTCTTTATATTCTCCAGTATTAAGCAAAACAAAACTTCTTCTAGAAAGTGGAATTGCACAGTGTTGAGTTCTGAACTATTACTGTCTAAGCTTTTCATGCACTACCATAACACATAGAACAAAATCCCTTAACTTTATGTATATAATAGTACCTTGCAGGAAGAACAACAATCACATATACAAGCACAAATTTCCAGAGAATAACAATGTGCCCACCTGATAAAGAAATAGTAAACAGAGTTGACAACTTACTTGCATGCTATTTTATGTATAACCATGAGCTAAACCAATTGAATCCTGCCTAACTATACTCTTCCTCCGTTCTGAGGCACCAGTTATTCCCCGGATTAAGAAACATAATTAGAAATGTTGCAGGTTAAAGAAAAGAAAAAAGGAAGAAAAAAGGCTCACATTCTTCACCTGTTTGTGAAGTTTGCCCACTCAACTCTGGCCCTCCCGCAGCTGGGTTTGGCCTCTTCACTCACATCTTAGTTTTTACATCCCACCTAAAACTCCACCTTTCACACCTAAAAGCGACAGCACCCCATGTACAGGGGCCATGTCGGCAGGCGTTCTCCTGGGGTGACAGCCTTTCTCTCCCCGCCAAGGCCAGCACCGCGGTTCCAGCGAGCAGGAAGCGGAGGGCGCTCCCAGCCAGGGCCGGTGCCCGGGCGGGAACCTCCTCTCGGCCCAGGGCGCTGCAGCGAGGGCGGCGGGGCCGCCCCGCGGGGGAGCAGAGCCGGCTGCCGTCCCCCCTCCTCTGGCGGGGCCGGGGGAGGCGCCGCAGCCCCGCGGGGCGGCGAGGGAAGCGCCGCGGCCGCCGGGCAGCGCGGGGAAACGCGGCGGCGGGAAGGGACAGGCCCCGCGCCCGCGGCAAGGAGGGAGCGCCGGGCCGGCCGGGGCCGCGCCGGGGCCCGCGGCACCGCCGCCGATCCGCCTCCCGCCCCGTCCCGTCCCGGCGCTCACCGCGTTCTTCTTCTGCACCATCTTGTCCATCTTCTTGGCGATGCGGATGATCTCGTCCTCCGTGGCCATGGCGGCGGCGGCCCGGGCGGCGCCAGGCAGCGCGCGTCGAGCGCCGGCCGCGGGAGGCAGGCAGCGCTGCCGCTCGCCGAGAGCAGGGGCGGGGCTGCGGCCGCCCGCGCGCCGCGCTCCCCCGAAAAAGCCCCAAACCCGGCGAAAGTACAGTGGGATTTCTGACCTCTGGCAGCCTTCCCTGGGTACTGCAGTGAGGTGTCTGACCTCTGACAGCCTTCCCTGGGCACTGCACCAAGAATGACCGAGTTCTAGAAGCGTTTGGACAACGCTCTTCAGGCCCATGGTGTCATTCCTGTGCGGGGCCAGGAGTGGGACTCCACGATCCTAGTGGGTCCTTTCCAAATCAGGATAGCCTGGGATTCCGTGACCCTCTCACCCTCTCCATCTCCCAGCAATGCTGCTAACGCTGCCCCCGTCCGTACCTGCTGACACAGAGCGAACCACGGCGCCCGGAATCCCCTGCCTACGACCCAGCTTTTCTTCGGCTGGCAGGAGGCTCAGAATTACAGCAGACACTGGATTTTCACTAGCGTCAAAGGGATGTGGAAAAACCCCTGTGCCCTGTAACAGAAAAGATTTTTATACATACGTTTTTTAATAGCTACCTTTATATAAAATGGAGTGAGGGTTTCAAATTGCAGCTTCAGAGTGAAGTTTGGAAGACACGTGTTCTGAGGCAGTACAACAGAGCTGGAAATAAACTTCGGCATTGGCCAAGCATCACACTGTGAGGTGCTACCGTGCTTCTAAGTCTTAGATCTAGTTCAAATCTTATGTGTGTTCCAGTGGGACATACCACATTTATAAAGTTTGACATATAAATATTAAACATCATTACTAATGGAATTCTGTTCATCAGCTGAGCTAGATGCATTATTACTGGGATTTTTGATTGTGAACAGCATCATGAAACCATTTTTTGCTGTAAAACAGGAGTGTTTACTTCACAACAACAGTAGGCACATCTGAAGGTTACAGGAAGATTATCCCTTCCTAGGATCCAGAAGGGTGCTTACACAGCCACTCAAATCCATTATTAATAAGCACTCAAATGCTGTGGATGCCCCAGTTGTGAACCAAGGCCTGTAAAATACGGACATTTTGGAGAACAGGCAAGGCAGACCTTTTCCTCCAACAGCACTCAAGGAAGCCATTATGGCAAGAACCATCAACACATTGTCTGTCATGCACTGGGCAGCAAGACTGTCCTGTGTTTTGAAGCCAAATAGACACAGGTGGGTTTTTGGCACTTCTACATCCTGCTCAAAGGACACAATGGTCAACTCTAAGGCCTGCACATATTAGAAGCAATTAATATTATTTGGGACCTACACAGGATCTTCCCCCAGCTTAGATCTGGGCCATGAACGGGACAAGCATACAGAAACTTTGTCTGCTGCTTTTTTGTTTATTCTGACCAACAGGGGGTAAAAAAACCCCACAAGAACAAAAAAAAAATATATTTTTTAAGGAAAAGAATACCTTTTCATTCAAGAGCAGATTTTGGGAAGGCAAAAATAAAATAATGCAGTTTCTCACAATATTTAAGGGAATGTGCCATTTCAGATTTAATTCCATTTTGTCTAGATTTAGTTATGCAATACCAGTAATAATCAAACACTGGTATTTAACCTGATGCTAACCTCAAATGAAGTTTAGCATCATTGTTCCCCACAAACACACAAATGATAAAAACAACACACAGGGTGTTAGCAGCACAGAGCTATTGCTACACTACAGGATCAACATGCTTGTACACGTTCTACAGTAGGTGCAAGTTAGGTCAGGGACAACACAATCACAAAACCAGAAATCTCAAATCAGTCACTTTGGTTAGTTTAAATATATTTTAACTCTGGAATAAAGTCATCCAGACTTTTCTAAAATTTCATTTAAAAATACAATTCAACACCTACTTCACTGGAAATGCATGGAAAGCATTCAAAATGCAGATGAAATCTATTAACATCCAAAATGTATCAGGTGAGAAACTGACAATTATAAATTAAATCCAATGAGAGCACTTATAAAAGGCAAAGCACATCATACTTATTTAACATCTAATCTTTAAAAAGTAGCATCAGAGAAATATTTCAGTAGGGAAATCCAAGAATAATCAGATGGCAATGCACACTCTTTATTTTTTGCAAGTGCAGATGCATTAAAAGACAGCATAATACAGCTCACACTATTTATATTGTATGCTACAATACCAGAACAGTATCAATTAACTGAACCAGTACTAACCAAATTCTTTGTATCAGCTGCTCCACCACCCTGGGGACAGCAAGTCTTTATTGAAAAGGAACACACAGCACTCCTCATGCTTGTTCTCTTTTAGCTGGTTCTAAACCAAGCAGCTTTGTACAGCACCAATCTCTTCTATAACATGTCACTCCAAGTCCAAAGAAGAGTAGGAGAGGGAAAAACAACCTAACTGACCTTTTCCTTTCTGTTTAGCATCATTCTCCTAAATTAACACATAGACAGAAGAAATAACACACTGTTCATTGCACTGCAGTTATATTACCTTATATAACCTTACCTTATAACCTCACCTGTTATGGCACATCCTCACCGTTCTCTTGCAACATTTTCTGAAGGGTTTTGAGCACCTGCTCATATAGAAAGCCTGTGTCCAATTCTCAGTTAATGGACCATGGGGCCTTCTGCAATAGTAAGACTTAGCAGGCAGAGATGACTCTTCCTAAAAGAGTGCACTTATGAAACAATGTCAATTTTTACTGACTAGTCTCATTTGATGAGAGACAGCATCTTCAGAAATTTGGGTAGGAGGGGCAAAACAGTAGCACATTCACTACTACAGAATTTGAAGTAAAGAATCTCTGAACTGCTATCAAGGCACTTAAGATCCTACATTTTCAGGACTGATATTCTGTATGGAAAAAACTCCTCTAATCGGGTAGTAACACAACTGTGCAAAATACAACATTCACAGCATTGCAAAAGGTTTTATGTAACCATGTTATGGCTATTAACCCTCTCCTCTTTATCTGAGCCCCGAGTGCAATGTCTTAGATCTTCCAAAACAGAATCTCAGCTGGTCTGAATCAGCCAAGTGGTCACCAGCCTTTGCAGAGGAAAGGGACATAAGTCCAATCACAGACACATAAGGGGAGCTATAGCAAATGGAAGTTCCAATTTCTCATAAGATTTTGTTCAAAAACTTCTGAAATAGCAATAAACATATTGATTAGTTGTTCTATAGCTATACAACAATGGGTTGGGTTTTTTTTAATTTACTTTTTTCAAAAACGTTATTTACATTTTCAAAATGTCGTCACTTTTTCAACTGAGAAGCAGTAATGGTAAGCATTCAAATATCAAAAAAATAAGCTAATGTTTTGGGGTTTTTTATTTCTATTTTAGTTTCTAGAGTTTTTAAGTTTGTTAGACTTCTCTATGTATTCTGTGGCAACTTCATCTGTTTTTTCAATATAGACTTAAAACATTTAAGCCTTTTAAAGATCCCTTCTGATAATTTCAAATACTACAACACAGCTAGCAAATTATTTCAAGCACAAACTACTTTAAGAGTTTGCTTGTATTCACAACCAAGGAACATTGAGACTCCATCTGCTCCATCTGTTAATGCAGAGAAATAGCTCTTTAAAACAAACCTTAGATAAGGGAAGTCTATTTTCTCCTCCCAAGCACAAGCTAAACCTCCCACTTAGATGCCTGAAGCAAGTTCACTACACCTCTGCAAACTGGCTGGAAGTTTTAAGTTTTACTAGTTTTTCAGATAAAAAAGGAGGCAATGGGTTGCTCTTTTTTAGTAATTGGTCCTAAAAGAAAAAACATTATCTTCTGGTTCACTTTGTGGACATCCATTAAATTATACAAGTACTTTGTTTAAATCAACTTTAATCAGCTACATCAAAGGTAACTGTTCAACTCAAAGAGAATTAATAAAATCTGTTATCCCAAAGGCAAATGTGGTAAAATGAGAGTGGCAAGTAATGAAAAGGAAGAAAAAGGAGGAATCTGTTCTACAGCTATTAATCTTCAAAGAATCGCATTCTCAATTTAACCAACAGACATTCCGAAAACTTCTTGAGTCACGTTCTTCACTTACACCACTACTCTCATACCATATTTGATAAAGTTGAATACACTACATTGTTTTGTTTTGGGGGGTTTTACTATGCTAGTTTTAGGCAATTTTTCTCTTCACAGTCACCTTATCAGGGATGCCAGGGCTGAAAGTAAATAGAAACTGAACATTACTCAAAATGTTTTTCAAAAAATATAAACTGGAAGATTGCTCTGTGTAATATTGTATCTTTACTGTTAGTAGCTATTCTTAGACTCTTGATTTGCCACAACCTGTTCACACAGAGCACTGCATCTACCACACATTCCCATACATTTATGAAATTCCTCATTGCACTCCACACTGACTTTTGGACATTGCAGTCTGTGGAGACAAGTGGCCTTTAAGTTGCTTTAAGCTGCTTGAAGGGGGAAGCCTGCCTTTACCACACATACACTCCATTCCCTCTCTTCCCTGATAATCCCACTTTTTCTCTAGAGTGCCCTGCACTATGTACAGCACTGACTGACCTCAAATATTAAACTAAATAGTGCACGTAACCCCTGACCTGAAAATTATCTCTAACAAATCTGTGAAGTGGTGTGTATGCCAAACCTTAATCAACTTCAAAGCCTTTCCAACAGCACAGAACACCCAGAGAATAGTGCAGCAATCCAGAGTGAGAAGACTTTGGCTCTTCAGTGTCCTAGAATAACTTTACTAGAAAATAACTTAATTTCTTTTATCTTTCAAAATTATTGCAAATTGCAACAAAACAAGTTAAAATAAAATTAACCTGGAATTTGAAAACCACCCTCCAATCATACTTAGGATTCTTTCAACAAAGTAGCAAAACCTAACTTGGTAAGTGATTTTCTTTTCAGTAACTACAAGTCATTGTTCTTCTCTATTATAGTATGCATATATTACCATACAATACATTTTCAAGGAGCCTCTAGAGTGCCTGTTTCACAGCATGTAAAAGCTCAACTTCATTCAGGTAAGTATGGAAAAAATCTTTAGTACTTGCCCAAATACCAATTTAAATTTATTTCACAATGATTAAAAATTGAAAGCTTTTACATTTTCCCTAGTACAGAAATAATTTCCAAAGTTAAGATTTCTTATCATAAATAAAATTAGTAAAATAAATTACATTTTAGATGTTTATAGTAAATATAAATGGCTTATATTTCTTAACACAAGGAGTAAGTGTTCAGTATTTGTTTATAAAATTTAA